AGTTAAGCCTTTGTTCAGCAATACCACGATTGTGTGGCATTATCACATTGTCATTTTTCAGAGGCAACTTGATGCAATAATGACCATCGATGAGCTGTGCTGATGTAGTTACAGCATGCATGAAATGCTTATCCTGCTGAGACAGTTCTTGCCTCTCCTCATACTGTCGCTATGGGGAATCTGCATTATATTGCTTCTCCAGCATGTCTTCAATACTCAATACAGAAATACGATTGACAAGAAAATCTTGTTTTTCAGTGAGACGTGATTCACTATTTTGACATCTGCTGACTGGTCCATTTACCACCCAACCCAGGGCTGTTTTCACGGCGTATGGTCCGTCATTCTGGCTGTTGACAATCTTCCATGGCTCCATAGCCTTGTGCGCATTAGCACCAATGAGATGTCCAATATCTGACTCTAAACTTGGAAGATGAACTTGTTTCAGGTAAGGCCATCTCTCCAAATCTTCTTCATTTGGTATATTACCTTTTGTTGCAGGAATGTCTGGTTGCGTGTACACATCTGGCAACATGATGAAGTCTTGTTCATCAAGTCCACAAACCTCTAAATCTGTAAGGACATAACTACAAACTTTCTGTTCCTGCGTCACGGTTCGAAGAAGGATTTTTTTCTTTTTTCCATGTACATTCAACTTTCTGGCCAGATCCTCCGTGCAAAAAGTTGCTGTGCTACCTTGATCCAGGAATGCATATGTCTTGATGATGGTTCTGTTTTTCTTGTGTCTTATCTGCACAGGCACAATGGGAAGTATGCATTCATTATCTCCGGCCCCAGTGACTTCACCTTTTTTATATCCAGTGGACACAAGAGCACTTGTTACTTCACTTGTGTTTTGTGGGTTGTCATCCATGTTTTCTTCTGATACAACACTCTGCTTCACCACAGTAAGAATAGTTGGGTGCTTAAGAGAACAGTTGGAACATGAGGCCTTTTTTCTACAAGCTTTATATAGATGACCTGCTGTTAGACATCCAAAACAAAGACAATGTGACTTCAGAAACTGTATTCTATCTTTCGAAGGCTTTTCTTGAATTTTGTTACAAACACTCAAAGCATGGCTATTCTTACAATAAAGACATGGACTTTGAAAAGCGCTGATGGTCTTGACTGAAGAAGTTGTTACATCACGCTGGCTCTTGGTGGTATCCTTTTCGGTGCAAGATGTATTCACAGCAAAACTGCTTCTCTTTGAAAGACCTTTTAGTTGGTCAGACCTTTTCTTCAAACTGCTCTGATTAGCTGGTGTGACATCCAGAATATCTCCAAAAAGCGGATCATTAGCAACCTTTGCTTGTTGGTAGATGAACTCTACAAGATCAGGAAATTTGGCTCGCGTTCCTTTTCTTTCTTGAATGCTGTAAGCATGGTTTCTCCACTTTTCTTTCAGTTTATATGGTAGTTTGTACAAAATGCTTTTCATGTTGGTTGGATTGTTCATCTCACTCATGTAGTCAACATCATTCACTGTGTTGGAACATCCAATCAGAAATAGTGCAAATGCATTCAGTCCTTTTCTGTCATATGGTTTTATCTGAGGCCACTCCATAGCCTTTTTAATATATGCTGTGGTAATGGTCAACTCATCTCCATAGTGTTGATCAAGCAAAGCCCTTGCTTCCCTGTAAGCTCTATCTGGCTTCATGTGCTCACAGCTGCGTACGAGATCTAGTGGTTCTCCACCCGTGAACTGTTCTAGATAATATAGCCGATCTTGTTGGCTTTCAGTTTGGTTCTCAATAGCATGTTCAAAAGCTCTTATGAACGATCTATATGAAAGTGGGTCACCTGTAAATACAGGAATTTCTCTGTGAGGAAGTCGAGATATACTATGTTGTTTTATGAGCATCTCAGTATGTTGATTTTGTTGCTGTAGAACCCGGTACAGATCATCTGAAGAAGAATCAGAACATTGAGCATGTGTCGAAATCCCTTTAAAGCGAGACTTCCTTGATACTGGAGGATCAATATTTGCCTGCTGTTCATCATCTGACAACATTTCTTGCCTTTCTGATTTGCTTGCAGAATGAACAGATTCAACTTTAAGTCTTGAAATAGCTTGTAAGGAATTAATCTCAGACTTCTGAGCTTCTTCATTTCCTTCATACACCTTTAATTTTGCGTCTGAAATGGCAAGCTTCGTTTCAATTTCTAGTTGCTCCTTTCTGAACTTAAGACGGGCTTCTTCCAATTCAATTGCTTCTTTCTTTTTCATTGCTGCTGCTCTTGCTAAAAGCGCTTCACGTTCTGCTTTAATTTTCGGCCGCATTGAACTTGTACTTGATCCTTGGGATGTACAGCTTGCAACCGAGGTAGCCTTTGAAACACTGTCATGTGGGTGCACATCTTCCTCTGGAGAGCATTGTGCATCTTTTATCCATTCTTTAACGCTTTGCAAGAAAAGTTTAAACTCATAATGTCTACCCTCGAACACATCTTGGTCTTCACGTTTATCTTCCTCACTTATCAGTTCACATAGTTCGTAATTAATGCGTTCATACTCTCTCAGGCATTTGACAAATAATGGTAAAGATTCTTCATTTATGAAATCAGCATTGCATTCATTCTGTTTCAATCTTTCAATGTTATTCTTCTCTTTTGTCAACTGTGACAGCTTTCCTCTTCTTTCTCCTTTTAATCTAATGATTCTGTCATCTCGAGCTCGTTCTGTGGGCTTTGGCTCCCTCTTCTGTCCAACCTGCGCAACTTCACCGTCGTCCTCCATTTAGTCCCGTTTAAATTTTCTTTTAATTCTTACACATAAACTGTGAGCCTCCAAACAGCTTCTTACTCTTCTAAAACGTTAACAAACATGTGTGACAAGAGTTCCTTTATGTGCAGGATTTCTATGTGTAGTTCACCGGGCTTTTCTAGTCGGCACGTTCTGGCTCAGTCAGCAAGTTAGCTTAGCAACCGAGCTGATGCGGGGTAGCTTCTGTAGCCCTTGATAACGATGTGGTACTTACGGATTTTACCACTTCAACTCTGTTGTTTCCTTCAGCTGAATTGAATCTCCGTTCGTCTTTAAGTCCTCTTTTCATTTTGACTTAGTCTTGGAAGAGTCATTCCATGAGAAAGTCTTTTGACTTGATGTAAGTGCGGCAAGCCTCACTAGTTTAGCCCCTTAAAGCTCTTTCGAACGCGACACTTTCTTCTTGAAAAAAGGAGGTCTTGAATCCGACGGTATTTTTTAGGTCTTTACTGAATTTAAAGAAATAAAATAACAAGCAGATTCAAAACAAATAAAGTGACGGTCAAAAGACAGTATTCTCCTAAGGTGCCAAACTTCTATAAAGAGCAAGTCCTTTTTTCTTTCATAAACAAATTATTCGAAAACCAATCAAAAGGCACCACGTCATAAGCTTAACAACGATTCAATTATAGATGCTTATCAATTCCAAAAATGTATATATGGCTCCTACAACAAATAACTAGAAATTTCTTTATTAAGTGTATTTATCCTTAATAGGTGGATAAGTAGGATGATCTTCTAATAGAAACAGCATTTTTACTCTTAAAATAAGATAATTAGATAATATGAACTTAAAATAAGATGACGCAATAGTTTTTTTCTTATTTTAAATGTAAATTTTGTTCCATTGGCAAATAGGCTTGCATACCTCCTCAATTCAAGAACAATTCAAGAACATTTTTAGATTAACATTTTTTTTGCAGTGTTAAACATTTCAAAACAATGTGTTTCTGTGGCACGGCTGGATCCTGCTGGTTTCCTAAAGCAGGTAGTGGAACTCGCCGTCAGACTGGAACATTTCACTGCAGTGGAAGATTATAAACCAGCAGAATGGATGCCTGGGAGGAAGGTTTTAAAGGAAAAGTCCGCTCATATTCAGAATTCAAACTACTGAAAGTTCTTTAAATATGAAATTATTCCATTCTGTTCAATAAATGATCAGTGTTTTTAATTCAGATTAATTTTCATGTGAATGTGCTTTACTGAAGGCATCCATGTTTGTCAAAGAACACTACTGCCACCTACTGGTTTGTGACGTCACGGTGCGGTATCGGCTGTTGATCAAGTCGCAGTGCTGTATCTGGTGTTTGTCACAACGCGCTATTATCCAAGTCATCTTGAGAACATTCTTCTTCCAAATGTTGGCTACATATTACATGTTGTTTCTCTGGCCAGAAGTTCGATGGTAAATCCTCCCTCTTCAAGTTGGCAATCCAACGACCAACCCGTCCGTGGAGGATCAGGAATCAGAAAGGTGGAATAACTCTTTTTTTTCCCTTTTACCCGATGTATTCTAACATCCAGCTGCCATGCACGTGGGCATTGTCAGTTTCACTATAGCTCTGGTGAATTTCAATGGTGAAGTCCTCTGGAAATCTTCAATAATTGTTGTTGATTGCAGATGTGTCTAGTAGTTCCCATTGATTTTGCTTGTAAAGCGGAGAGAACGGCGCTAGGCTTACCGCACCGTGACGTCACTGCCGGAAGATGGCTGGAGGGAGGGGTTACTATATTTGGGCAAAAATGGCCGCTCCCAGACTCAGTGATCGCCACAAAATTTTTTTTCTTTGCCTCGTCTGTTCCTGTTTGGCTGTGACTCTAGATGTTGGAGCTCGGCCTTTTTTTCCAGTGTAGTCCTGTTTCTCTGACTGTGACTAACTGGATGAGCTCTCTTCATCCTCTGACATGGGAGGATGAATTCTTTACTGATTAACGCTATATTCATTCAATCACGGCAAACATATTAGTTTTAGGTATAAATAATGATCCATTGATTATTTCCTGCTGACCAGTCGAAAGATGCCTTTCATGCTGTTAGAATCAGTGGAGTTCAGCTTGACTTCACCTATGGACCTTTTTGCTATTACTGGAGCTTTGAGGAACTGAAACACGGCCCAGTGGGCCACATGGTGGAGATCCATGAACTTTGCTGGGTCTAGTAGAAGTGGAGCGGCATTAACATTTTCAAAACTATCAAAGCTTATTTCTGCTCCTTTGTTTCCTTTAGAAAATATTTTGGGGAGAAGATCGGCCTGTACTTTGCATGGCTGGGCCTCTACACCCAGATGCTCATTCCTGCCTCACTCGTTGGGGTCATTGTCTTTCTCTATGGATGTGCAACAGTTGACGACAACATCCCAAGGTAAGCCCAACCAACACATGAAGGAGTTTCTGTGAGCTGCTTTCATGGTGCAGCATAGAGGAGAATATGAAGGGAAGGTTGAGATGGAGCAGCTGACTCCATCATCAGTGATAAAGGCCACCAGTTCATTAACCATAGAGTTAACAATCTATCTGCTACTTACTGCAACCTACTGGTGCTGCTGCTTCATTAAACCCAGTTCTTTCTGGTTCCTCTGGGTCACAATAAAACAGCTTCCGTCTTTTAACTCATTTTATTCTCTTTTCAAGAAGAATAAGAGTCTGGTGATTAAATAAATAAATAAAAATATAGACAAATGTTTGCTATAAAGAGAACTGATTTTTATAAAGAATCAGAGCAAAGTTTCAGATATGACTGCAGTTAATAATAATTTCAATGATATTGATCCTCTTAGTATTTGAACAGGTAAAGCACCAACAAAGCATTCATATATAATGTCAGCTTAAAATGTATAGCAATGAATTATTCTGCAAAAAAATGTAACCTGAACAAAAAGCTGAGCCGTGTGGATGATTCCCAGTAACACCAGTGCACAGCTTGCAGCAGTGCATTAATAGTCACTTTTTCTTTGTCTCGGGATTTTTTATGAGATTTAATTTACTTTCAGAATGCAAAGTTATCCAAATAAAAAGAAGCCTTTTAATGTTCATAAAGCTGTTCTGGTTCTATTCTTAGCAAAAAGAGTCGATGAGTAAAGATAATAACACTTTTTTTGTTTTTCCAGCTTTTATTGTCTTTCACTGTCAAAAGTCCAGAGCAATGAAACTTCCTCTCTACATTTATCCCATCCTCCTGGGAAGCAGTGGGCTGCCATTGTGCGGTGCCAGGGGAGCAGTGTGGGGTTAAGGGTCTTCCTCAGGGACCCAGAGTGGCAGTCTGTGGGAGTGGGGCTCGAACTCAGAACCTCAGGATTCTAAGCTCTATGCCACAGGTGTCAAACTGGTTCCAGAAAGGGCCGTGTGGCTGCAGGTTTTCTTTCCAACCAAGCAATAGCACACCAGACTCCATTCATATCATCAAGTCATCATGTTCAAATTGGACTCCCTTGATGGGATGACTGGAGTCTGGTGTGCTATTGTTTGGTTGGAAAGAAAACATGCAGCCACATGGCCCTTTCTGAAACCAGTTTGACACCCCTGCTCTATGCCCTAACCATTAGGCCTCTGTTCTGTCACACCAGCGTAGTCAATACGCATGTGCAAGACGTCTGATTTGCGTTTATCCCTTTAGTTTTGTATGAAAAATAAACTTTAACTAAAGAGACAAAGTACAGAGACAAACTAAAGGAGCAAACTAAAGAGAAAAACTAAAGGGATAAACTAAAGGAGCAAACTAAAGAGATAAACTACAGAAATAAACTAAAGGAGCAAACTAAAGAGATAAACTAAAGGAGCAAACTAAAGAGATAAACTAAAGGTATAAACTAAAGGAGCAAACTAAAGAGATAAACTAAAGGTATAAACTAAAGGAGCAAACTAAAGAGATAAACTAAAGGTATAAACTAAAGGAGCAAACTAAAGAGATAAACTAAAGGTATAAACTAAAGGAGCAAACTAAAGAGATTAGCTAAAGAGATAAACTAAAGGAGCAAACTAAAGAGATAAGCTAAAGAGATAAACTAAAGGAGCAAACTAAAGACATAAACTAAAGGGAAAAACTAAAGGGATAAACCAAAGGAGCAAACTAAAGAGATAAAATAAAGGAGCAAACTAAAGAGATAAACTAAAGGTATAAACTAAAGGAGCAAACTAAAGAGATAAACTAAAGGAGCAAACTAAAGAGATAAAATAAAGGAGCAAACTAAAGAGATAAACTAAAGGGACAAACTAAAGGAGTAAACTAAAGAGATAAACTAAAGGAGCAAACTAAAGAGATAAACTAAAGGAGCAAACTAAAGGGATAAACTAAAGGGACAAACTAAAGGAGTAAACTAAAGAGATAAACTAAAGGAGCAAACTAAAGAGATAAACTAAAGGAGCAAACTAAAGGGATAAACCAAAGGAGCAAACTAAAGAGATAAACTAAAGAGATAAACTAAAGGAGCAAACTAAAGAGATAAAATAAAGGAGCAAACTAAAGAGATAAACTAAAGGGACAAACTAAAGGAGTAAACTAAAGAGATAAACTAAAGGAGCAAACTAAAGAGATAAAATAAAGGAGCAAACTAAAGAGATAAACTAAAGGGACAAACTAAAGGAGTAAACTAAAGAGATAAACTAAAGGAGCAAACTAAAGGGATAAACCAAAGGAGCAAACTAAAGAGATAAACTAAAGGAGTAAACTAAAGAGATAAACTAAAGGAGCAAACTAAAGAGATAAACTAAAGGAGCAAACTAAAGAGATAAACTAAAGGAGCAAACTAAAGAGATAAACTAAAGGGACAAAATAAAGGAGTAAACTAAAGAGATAGAGATAAACTAAAAGGATAAATGGGTATTGACTATGGGTATCCTGGTCTGACAGAACACCATCAATCCCTCACACATCACGTTTCACCTAAACAGTAGCCTTCCACTGTAGAACACTAACCCTGCCTCTCATAATGTTGTTCCTTCTTCCTTTCATTCAGTTTAGCTTTTTAATCCTCTGTTGCTGTTTTTCCTCCACCATAGTGGATAACAACCTTTAGGACTGAATCTAGACGCCACTGATTTACAGATTTATTGACGTTCCACAGATGTGAGAAACTCAGAGCAGATATTATTAGTAGTTTATCATCTTATGAAGGCATTAATTGTTGCCAAGTGGCCAAGTTGTTCTTTAGAGTCTCAAAGCAGAGTTCTAGTTTCTTATACATTCAACCTTAAACCTCTATTCTATAGAGAAAGAATGAGAAGACGACTCTGCTGTTTCTTTTTGGTTTGTTTTTAAATAATAATAGTAATAATAGCTGTCCTTATTTTTTTGTGTTACTTTAATACTGAAGTTCTTTCCAGGTGCTGTAGAATCTATTGCAGGTGGTTCTATGCATCAATTCATCAGGTGGTTTCTGAAAGCCACAGGTTCTTTGAATTTACTCTGAAAATTAGACAGAAATGTTCTGATATTAGGAAACTACATTTTTATTTTTGAATACTTAGTTCTTTATTTCTTCTAGTGAGTACTTCAATACTTTCACTTGAGTAGATGTCAGAGATTTCAAGTAACGAAGTCTAAATACTTTGTTACCTTAAGTAGAGATATTGACTGTCTATGCTTTACAGTAGTACTTTTGTTTAACACAACTTTTTACTTTTTTTTTTTACTTTTTAAAAATATTCTCGTTCGTTTTATTTCATTTAAGCTCATTTTCATTATGGTCTGTTGGTATTTAAAAAAAATAACAACCATCAAAAATAATTAGACAGTAATATTATATATATATATTATAATTAGATAATTCATAAATGGACAATTCATTTCTTTGTGGTTGAACTCGGTGCTGCCCCAACTTGTTGTTCACCACATACCAAAATAGTTTTTTTTGCAGATGATGCAAAGTTAAATCTGCCACTGTTACCATTAGTTATACAACTAAGAAAATAAAATCTAAGGAAGTTATCATCCAGAATTGTCCTTCCTTTTATAGGGTAGAGCAGTAAAGCTTCAGGCCTTAACAGTTTTTCCTGCATTACTTTTACTTTTATGTTAAACATGGTATTTTTACACTTTTACTGGGGTAAAAAAGCTGAAGTCTATCCTCTAATTTCTACAAATGGGTTTTCAAAAGCAGGATTTATACTGGAGTAATAAACATGAATACTTTTGACACCTCTGACAGATGTTTGACTGAGTAACTTTTACTTGTAGTTGGGTATTATTTGACTATCAGTACTTATAATTTTATTAAAGTTGAGTACTTCGTCCACCACTGTTTGGCTCTGATGCGTAAAACAGTCACTAAGGACATCTAGTTTCCAGCAGAAATCTTCTGGTTCAGTGCAGGAGTTAACTGTCCTGTGTTCTTCATATTTAGGACGAACCAAAGCAGCCTCTGGTTTCAGGTGCTCCCGCAGCTCTTTGTTGCTCAATATTAGATATTATGGAAGCAGAAGTTCAGTTGAAGAAACTGATAACTCACCCTTACCTGCCCCCATCACAGGCCAATCAGCTTCGAACCACACCTCCACATGAGCCAATAAGCATCCATACTGTAGTTAATCTTAAAAGATCTCCAAATCCACATCTCCGGCTGCTACCCAAAGCACAGAAAGTGATGGTGCTATGTCTGATTTTGACTCAAACGACCCGATTCAACGCACCTCCAGCCCCTCCTCCACCATCGGAACTAAAGCTGCATAAGAGTGTCATTCCTTCTGAACTCTTACTTCGTTATCTGTCTCATCTCAACCGATCCGGCAGAAGGCCGCCATGTTGAGCCTGGTTCTGCTAGAGGTTTCTTCCCAAAGGGGAGTTTTTCCTCTCCACTGTCGCTTCATGCTTGCTCATCATGGACAGGTTAATGCAACCTGTGTTATTCAAGATGGACTTCCATCTTTCAGGTCCCTGAATGTAGCGCTAGTATCAGCTCAAGCATACCTCTGGATTTCTCCGTACAGCTTAAGCAGACCGTCTCGCTAACCAGCAGTCTATAGACTGACCAACTTCATCTATCTCCACTCAACCACCAATTTCAGGCCTGGGGGGGAAACAGCCCTGTTCTTTGCTCCTGTTCATACATATCAAAGCAAAAGTCTGAGCGCCAGAGACTAAAGTAATTGTATCAATAAAATTGTTCTAATTGTCTTTTCTTTCTGTGTGGGGTTTTTAGATTGAATTTCATTTAGGATCAGATTCAATTATTCTATAGCACCAATTCACAACACATGTCATCTCAAGGCACTTTACAGTTACAGATGAATAGTTCATTGTCTTGAAATGTTTAAATTAGTAGCAAATATTGTTTCTAAGGTGACGGGAGAGCTGGTGCAGAGACAGGAATGGAGAAAAACATTAAAAAGGTTGAATTTAAGGAGTACGACAAACAGTTTTTAATAAATGAGTTCAGGCTTCCTCTACCTGCTCCTCGTCTCCCACAGGATGTTATGACCGTCTGTCAGGAACCTGAACTACACAGGAATGTTCAACGTTAAAACAGACTTTCTTCCTCATATTTTACCTGTCAAAGTTTTGGGACTCAGAAAGTTTCTGCTTTTATTAACTCACTTTAGAATATAATAAAAAAAAACTTTGGAAACAGAGCTGATATTAGTCCTTCACATGAAGCTCCATGCATGAACAGATGAGAGAAAATGACTGAAGACTTTTACAAACATCTTCAGTAAATATCCTAATGAAGAGAGGGATCCAGGACTATTGATATCAAGCTTGTTTTACAGACTGTGTAGGAAAGGGTTATATCTATTCAATTCTATTCAGTTTATTTCTGTAGCTCCAATTCACCTCATGTCATCTCAGGTCAATTTCCAGTTCATCAGATCATCCAGTCAGATTAATTCAAAGTTTTCTATCTAAGGAAAACCAGCTGATTGCATCGACTCATTGACTCTTCAGCAATCCCTCACACTAAGCATGCTTGTAGCGACAGTGGAGAGGAAAAACTCCCTTTGAACTGGAAGAAACCTCCAGCAGAACCAGGCTCAGTGTGAGCGGCCATGTATTAGGTTGTTTGTAGTATATTTGAACTGTGGATCCATTAGCGTTGCTCTTCTGGCGATTCTTTTTTTACAAAATGGACCCCAACATCAACAAAACTGGATAATGAAACAAACTGTCACATTTTGTATATAAATAAACACTTACCTTTATTAATGATTAGTTATCCTGTAAGTGTCCATAGAAACAGATGTGACTGAATCCACCTTTTCAGTTCCATTTCCATTTTTTTTTTTTTTTTTTTTTTTTTACATCTCATCGTTTTGATCATCTCAGTCCTTAACAAGGCTGTTTCCTTTAACAAATCTCTCTCAAAAAGTTTTCCTTCATTAGTGTTCTCATGAAGAAATCTTCCTCAGAGCCTTTAAAGGTCTGATTTCTTGCTGTGGGACGTCATGTTGGAAGGGAAACGAGTCACTGCGATAGAGGATTTATTTATTGATTTTATTTACGAGAATCAGATGGAGCTCTAATCGAACCACATTAGATCAGTTTAATTGACAGGAAACATATTACTGAATAAAATAGGATGATATAAATGTAGTTTTAAAAGTTCAAACACAGAAGCTCTAGAGTCACAGTTTCTAGAATAAAACTGCTCCTAGAGGGGTGTTGGACTGGAGGTGATAATAGAAACGTTTGTCTGCGTTTCTGTTCTGTTTGAACTCCAGCATGGAAATCTGTGATCCGAAGAACAACATCACTATGTGCCCCCTGTGCGACAGAGTGTGCAGCTACTGGAAGCTCAGCACGGCGTGCGGAACGGCTCGGGCCAGCCACCTGTTTGATAACCCCGCCACCGTCTTCTTCTCTATATTCATGGCTCTATGGGGTGAGTACAGAAGGCCCAAAGAATCATATCAGCTCCGCCTGACCAGAACCGCTGAGTCATCATGTCTGAAATATGGGAATATTCATCCAGCTGCCATGTTTATGGAGCACTGGAAGAGGAGGCAGATGAGACTGAACTACGAGTGGGACCTGACTGGGTTTGAAGATGAGGAGGTGAGACCATCCATCCATCATCCATCATCCATCTTCCATCTGTCCATCATCCATCCTCCATCCGTCCATCCATCCATCCATCATCCATCCATCCATCCATCCATCCATCCATCCATCCATCCATCCATCCATCCATCCATCCATCCATCCATCCATCCATCCATCCATCCATCCATCCATCCAACATAGTTCATTTATATTTTTGGGAGTCTGTACCTTCTGTCAGAATGAAACCTCATATTCTGATTGGAGGGTATGTCTGAGGTCCAATGGTTCCCTCCTGAGGTTCAGAGCGTTCATGGAAGGACTGAGGGGGGAGCTTTCCAGGATCCCACCACCTTCATAGCAGTCTGCACCAGATGCAGCAACTTTTGTCTGGACAAACACCCAAACCAAGCATTTTTATATCATTAGATATCAAAGAAAGACAAACAACTTGGTAATCTTGGTAATCCTTGAGATCAGTTGAGATTTGCCCATTCTCCAAATTCTCCATCTTCTCCTTTTACCTGTGAGAGAAAAGTTTAGTATTTTTATTACTGCTGTTAATGATAAACCTTTGCTGAACAGCGAGTGATATGATGCTAACGGGCTAACATTCTTTTATCATCTGAGGCCAACATTAACTGTCAGTCAGAATCAGATGATAGCGGCTTTTGAGGCAGTATATTTAGCCTTTTTTCACACTTTTCCACAGTCTAGTTAATACCACGTTCTTACTCATAGTTGATAAATGATGAAGACTTTAAAAATCTGACTCTTCTGAGAAGGTTTTTGTTAATCTGAGATTGTTTTCACTGCTCTCTACTGCAGGTAAGACACTGACTGCCTGAACCTTTTTAACATTTCCCCTAAACCCAACAGGAAGAATGTCCTTTATTCATAGAGACACATCCTGAGGTTATCCCTCTGAGATTTTAATGTCTTTTTTTTCTCTCTGTTTATCTTTATTTATGTGTTATTCTGCAGGAAGCTCTGAAGGTTTGGAAAACTTTTTTACTGGTTGCTAAACTTCACCTTTCACACTAAAAAGCCTCTCAGCCACCACTGCAAAGCCACCTTTCCTTAAAATCATCACTACCTCTGATTTACTGCAACTGCTTTGACCTTTTTTTCTCTTATAGAAAATACAGCAGAAGATTGACAGAGTTGTGTTAATGTGAAAGTTCAGCCTCTTTTTCTCTGGGAAAGATTTTTTCCATGCGTTTTGTTGATGGAAGATATGAGTTTAGAAACACATGAAGGATGATCTCCCATCATTATTTATTGAGATGAAGCTTCACAAAAGTAATTTAAAAATAACTGTGAACTAAGTACAGATTTGTCATTAGTTTTTGTGGTAACTGCTTAGAAGGCTACACTACAAAAAAAGAAATCTAAATTAGTAATTTTTTCTTACAAAAGTTGCAAATTATCTTGACTTGAGGAGGAATGGGAGACACTAACAATGCAACAAGACAGTCTTGATTTAAAATAAGAAAAACTATTGCATTGTCTTATTTCAAGTGCATATTTTCTAATTATCTTATTTTAAGAGTAAAAGTACTCCACTATTTACCTACTCACATTAAGTGTGAATACACTTTATTTAAGGAATTTCTACTTATTTCTAGATAATTTCTGCAGTGATATTACACTGGAAAAATGGTTCCCAATGGAATGAGTATTTTTACTAGTATTTGTACGTAATTTTTTTTTCTTGTTTTAAGTGTAAATTGTGTTGTTCCATTGGCAAAATGACTCACTTACCTCCTCAATCCAAGAACAAATGCACTTATCTTAAGAAAAAAGATGAGAACATTTATAAATCATGGACACTGATCTTTGCACTAAATAATTATCAAAGTAAAATCAAACTTTGAGATCAGATGTTCCAATTTGTCCCTCTTTTTCAAACCTATTCGAGACTGAAGAGTAAAATATGTTCAGCGATAAAGAGGAAGATGAAGCTTTTAAAAGCATCAAGACTCTGTCAAAGCTGCGCCAAACAGACAGCAGACCAGAGAAGTAGGCTGGGCTTTAGATGTTCAATAGAACCGTTTGCACTCGGGGTCCCCCTGAAATAAAGTCTTATCCTTCCATAAATACGCAGGAAGTCATTATATAACCTGCCATTCAGTCCTTCCTTAGAAAGATAAACAGGGAGAAGTTCATGGGAAAACATCCAGAGGCTGATTCACCAGAGTTTTGATTTAGATTAAAGAAGTTACTGCTGATAAAATGATGAATAATAAAAAACTGTTTTAAGAAAGACCTTATGTAAGATGACCCCAAACGGATGTTTAAAGGTATAGTGGACGATGTTTTATTTCCGGGTGAAACATCTAAATCAGTGGTCCCCCTAATCAGTGGTTTACGTAAGGCCGTCCTTCATGCTCATCCCAATTTTCACTTACCGTTGGTAAGTCTGACAAAAATTGCAAATCTTCTTTTGTAAAGTAAGCTTGTATGAGCAATGCAAACAGCAACCTTTAAACAGAGCGTGCACGAGGAGAAATGGGCTCCTGCACGCTCTTGCATTTGTTTAATAGGCCCTCCCTCTCAGGAGCTGGTACAGGGTTCTGCATGTGCACTTTTTTTTAAAGTGGAGAGGGCGGGTCTTTTTCAAAGATTTGTAAAAATTCTTCACTATACCTTTAAGTCATTAGTGGGAACGACTGATTTGGGTGGGGCAGAGTGAAAGGAACCTAGAATGATTTAGTTGGGGTTGTTTTGTGACTTGATGTGTCTGCCAAACTATTAGAGAACCGCTGTATTATCAGGCATTGGATGGAGGCTCTATTAAAGCTGTGTGGTCTGATGGGGAGGATTTAAAGAGACAGAATGTTTGGATGACCAACGAAGGAGAATGAGACTCCAGCCGGTAGATCAAGGACATGATGCTAACAGCAGCTTCCCTCACAGGGACTACTCCTACTTTTAACCTCTGAGCTATTGCTGCTATTTCTCTGCATGTTCTCCATCCTTTAACTTGATTGCCATGGTTACATCTGTTACTCAAATGTTTTATTATATTAGAGCCTTTCAGTGAGGACTGATGACAATGCAAAATATTCTAATGTGACAAAGAGATGTAGTTACCTCTCTACAGGGTTTAAAGGCCTCCATATCGTCTACCCCAGACGATATCAAAACATAGAGTCAAAAGTTTCAATTGAATTCAGCTTATTTCTATAGCGCCTCTTCACAAGTGGTCACTTTACAGAGAAATTCAGCCAGATCAATCCCTCACACCAACCATGCTTTTAGTGAAAGTGGAGAGGAAAAACTCACTTTGAACCGGAAGAAACCTCCAGCAGAACCAGGCTCAGTGTGAGCGGCCATCTGCTGAGGCTGACTGGGGTTCAAGGAGACGGAAACAGACATAGAAAAAGAAGCATAGATTCAAAAGGCAGCTGTCAACTAGCTCCACAGGCGGCCCCGTCCAGGAAACAGCCAGGCAGACGAACTCCGAGCCAGCTCCCATGTCAGAGCATGAAGAGAGCACATCCAGTTAGTCACAGTCAGAGAAACAGGACTACACTGAAAAACAGGCCAAGCTTCAACATCTATAAACAAAGGTGTTGATGGCACCAGTACAGCTAATATTTCTCTCCAGGATGGAGTCACAGCCAAACAGGAACAGACCAGATGAAGCTACTATGAGTAAAAGCAGAGAGAGCAGAACGTTAGAGATTGAACTAACAGATTCTGCAGAGTGGGAGAATAGAGATAGAATGAAGCAGAATGATGAAAAGGGGTCCCTATGTCCTCCAGCAGTCTAAACCTATAGCAGCCTGTGTGAAGAATGCGTGATGGTCAGCTTTTTATCAGTTCATAGATAAAACTAAAACAACCAGAAAAGGTTTATTTATGGATATAGTCCCAGCAATTGGCGAAAATCTTTCTAATAAGTGATTTTAAACAAATATAAAAAGATAACTTCTGAAAACAGTTTGAATTGTTTTTCTGTGTTTTATGTTAGTGCTGTGACGAGCTTCAGGCATCCAGGCCAGAGGGTTTGAGGTTAATAAGATTTTAGGTGTTTTATGTCCTTCATACAACGTTAAAAAGGTCAATTAAAATACATTATCCTAATACCTACATAATAAACAGAGGTTTACTATTTCACACAGAGGAAATAGACAGTTAAAGGCAAAGCTAAGATAAGTTCTAGATGAAGATACGGAGTTAATGGTCTGAGAACGATCTGTGATTAGATGTGTTTTGTGACAAACTTCACAGGATCATCCCAGGGCCGAGTATGAATTCAGAGTAATGAAGAAGTCTCTGAAGAAAGAGAGGAAGTCTCCACACAAGGTAAACAGAAGCATCCTTTCATTTCTTCCTTTGAAAAGGACGCCTTTCTTCAGACATGTGTGTGGTTGTGTTTTGTTGATAAATTGTTGGTAGAAGAGTCTGAATACAGACGTTAGAGTCTGCTGAGAATATCATGATAGATTCTGGTTCCCTAAACCAACTGAGGCCTGAGTTGGCCAGGGGTGCAAACTTGCTGCAAATACACAAGTTGGCAACAAACAGGAAAATGGTTAGGAAAAAATGCTTTAAATGAGCTTTGCATAAAGGAAGTCCTCCAGATCACTAGGGGGAGACAAATATTAACTGATATGGGACTTAAATGGAGAATTTGGTGACAAAGATGGTGACTGAGGTCGGGAACTGAAGCCAGATTTCACATTAATGTAGCTTCCCTTCAAATAAATACTTTAATTATAGTTCAGTTCAATTTAACTTAGTTTATTTCTACTGGATCAATTCACAACACATGTCACCTCAAGGAACTTTACAGTTCAACAAATCATCCAGTCAGATTGATTCAAAGTTTTCTATATAAGGAAAACCAGTTGATTGCATCGACTCATTGACTCTTCAGCAATCCCTCACACTAAGCAATGTTGTAGCGACAGTGGAGAGGAAAAAATCCCTTTGAACAGGAAGAATCCTCCAGCAGAACCAGGCTGAGGCTGACTGGGGTTCAAGGAGAAGGAAGCAGACATAGAAAAAGAAGCATAGATACAAAAGGCAACTGTCAACCAGCTCCACAGGCGGCCCTGTCCAGGAGACGCACAGCCAGGCAGATAAGCTCCGAGCCAGCTCCCTTGTCAGATCACTTCATGGGATCCAAAACTGCAGTGTGATATATGCTGTCCATTCACATAAATAAAAAACAGGTTAATGTAGCAGATTAATTTCCCAATAAAAGCCAATATAACATAACATAACACTTCCTACCTAATTACACTGTTCTTCCCAGTGGCCGACGGGGTAAATTGTACCACAGATTAACATTGAAGTGTAAAAGTATTTGAGAAAAGCACGACATTTGCTGTAAACCTTTAAATCCTGATGAACCGCCTGTGCATAACGGTGCTGGTTGATGCTGGGACTGCACTGTATTTGAGGGGAACAGACAGATTTATCAAAACGTTTATTAGAAACAGAACTGGAGAACCCAGGTTAGTGACCATGGCGGGCGGGGTCCAGAGCCAAGCCGTTCAGCCACATCTCCAGAGGGCACAGGGAAAGAAGTCCCAGTGGAACCACATTGGAAGCAGCGGTCAGCGGGCCCAGAAGGGGCAGATAATCCAGGAACCATGGCTCTGTACCATGCTGGAAGGCAGGCAACCTGGTCAAAATACTGGTCACCCGCTGGGGAGAAGAGCGGCCGTCATGGTGACAGAGTTCAGGAGGATACCCAGGAACCCGGGAGGGGGTGAGGCTGCTCTTCTCCAAATTCACCCCCAAACCCAGCCGGTGCACATGGGAGAGCACCAACTGAGTGTCCCGGATCACCTGACTGCGGGTTGTGGCACAAATCAGCCAATCATCCAGATAAGGCAGGATCTGAATTCCCAGTGCCTGCAGGGGGGATAGAGCTGCTGCCAAAACCCTGGTGAACACCCGGGGAGACAGGGAGAGCCCAAAGGGGAGTGCCCTGAACTGATAGTGGTGCCCCTGGAACGCAAAGCGGAGAAACCGCCAGTGAACCTGTGCCACGGGGACATGGAAATATGCATCCCTCAGGTCGATTGATCTAAACCAATCGCCTGGCGAGATCGCCTGTAGAACCCCTTTGGTCATAAGCATGCAGAAGGGCATGTCCTTCAGGTAGGTGTTAAGCGCTCTGAGGTCCAGAACTGGATGAAGATCCCCAGTCTTTTTGGGGACCAGAAAATACACAGAGTAAAAGCCTCCTGGATCCAGCAGGGGGTCCCCAGGCACTATCGCACCCTTGCCCAGCAGGGCACATAGCTCATTGGACAGTGCCTGTGCCATCAGAGGGTTGTTGACGATGGTCATCCGAACATTAGACGGGGGCCGGCGGCGGAGCTGGAGACAGTATCCCCTGGTCAGAGTGGAGAGCACCCAAAAATTTGGGGTGCATTTGCCCCAGTACGAAAGCTGACCTGGGGTAAAATATCCAACCACCGGCCCCAGTGCATCACCTACGGCCCCCTCAGCCCCTCTGAGGCCTAGGGGTGGGCCGGACTGGTTCCGCAGCCCGAAAGGGGTGCGAAGCCCTGGCCCCTGACCAGACTGTCTGGTCCTGAGTCACCCCTGAAGCGGGATCTCGAGGCAAGGCTGGGGCAAAGGACGAGCAAGAGGAGCGCCGTCCTGAGCCAGAAGCTGCCCAAGCGTTAGCGGGCCGACGGTCATGCCTGTGAAGCCCCACAAGCTGTTGCCTGGTGCAAAAAGCCTAGGCAGTGCGTTCTAGAGATTCAAGCACAGCTGAGCCGAAAAGTTCCTCTGGGACCACCGGCAAAGTGAGGAGTGTCCGTCTACAGGGTTCAGTGAGTGGCGACTGAGCCAGCCACACCTGGAGGTGAGCACGGACCAGGAGGGACAATGTACGACCCAGCTCCCGAGACCTCAAGGCGAAAGCCTGGAGAGATGCATCAAGCATGTCTAGAGTCGACTGGTCAAGCGATTGGCCCTCCAGGGCAAATGCAAGACCCTGTAACAAATGGGAGAGCAAGTTTCCAATACGCCCCATCCTAGCCTCTGAATCGAAGGCTCGGCAAAGCAGATCATCCATGATGCGACACTCCTGCCATGGACAGCGGGCGCTAGCTCGGAGGGCCTCCTCTGGAGGAACAATAAGGGAGGCAATGCCAGGTTCCACAGCTGGCATCTGCCCTAACCCAAACCTTGGGGCCTCTTGCATAGCAGCAAGGGCTCTCCCATCTAACATTGATCGAGAAAGAGTCCGATTATGGATCAGCAAGCATGGAGTTCCCTAATGTACTCCCCTGAAGGCGGGACAGTAAAGGTGGCCGTCCCACGTCCATGGCCCCTAAAAAAGGCGTTAGAGGTGGGAGGCTGAACCTAAGGAGAATCCACCCGTAACTGTGCAAGGCTAGCTCTCATAGCAGTCGCCACTGGCTCCCCCATGCCTCCCATGGAGATGCTTGATTCAGCATCCGACCCTGTGGGTGAAGTACCCGGGGCTCCCCTCGAAAAAGGCTGTCAGAAGCCGCCACCGAGAGGGCATCCTCATTGACGACTGAATCCTCATCGGTAGCCAGAGACAAAACCAACCCCCGATCAGGAGGGAGGTTGCAAAGACTGAAGCAGAGCCTTCATCTGGGATAGCTCCGAGGACAACTGATCCACCCTAGAAGACAGCCCACCGTCCGAATGGAGAAATTCTTTGCCATCGTAAACGGAACATCCGTTGCGGGACGTTTAGGGCGTACCCCCTGGTCAGGGGGCAACCGTTCCTGATGATGAGAGCCCATCCAGGGAATGGTCTGTTCAACTGAGGACAGTCGGGCCAGCCACACAGAATGGGGGAGAACGCTGCAATTGGAGCAGGTTGATTGAAAGATGGGTTGATTGAAAGAACAAATGTCTCATCATCGGCATTTGCTCCGTGATCAGAGGAAATGTTACTTGGCGCAGAACAGTGGTGAAAATTGGAAGTTCAGTTTAATATAATACAACTCTGTGAATAGTTCCGTCTGAAATGAATGAAAATAGTTATTTTAATGGTTATTGAGTAAGATATGTGGCGGTAATGTTTGGTTTATCTAAAGGTTTTTATCTGTTACTGTGTAAATGGGTTTGGCTGTAATTTGAGGACAGATTCTAATAGATCTGCAGCGTGGGGACTATAAATCTGATAGAAGTTTAATTTTTTTATTGTTGTTTTGCACAATATGCTTAGCTAAGTATTTTTTGTTGTTGAATATTAGAGATTTTGCAGATATATTTTGTAGATACATTGTTTAGATTTACTTATATATTTCTAACCCTTTTATAGAATAGAAAATCCCTTTATTGTCCCACAATGGGCAAATTTACAGCAGCAGAAAGATTTAAAATATAAGTTAAAATATAAAAAAAAAATTCTGTAAAGTGTTTTAACAATATAAAACTGGAGAATTAATAACCAATATGCAGCTATGGACATTTTTACAGTAATGGATATTTGAAAATAGCATCAACATCAGAGATGTGCAAAATGACAGCAGCAGGTTATTTAACTGACTAAGGTTTCTATCATTACATTTGATTTGATTTGTTCCTGCTCCCGGTGGTTGGAACCTTTATTCCTCTCTGGATTCTTGTTAATGTAGTCTTTGTTCACTTTAACTTTAAAAAAATAAATAAATAAACAAACAGTTTTGAAAACCTCGGTATTCATTCTTTTCCTGCTTTGTGTGTCAACTTTCATGGTTGCTAAGCAACAGAGCATAGGCGGTAAAACCCGCCGAAGGGTGGGCCTCTTCGAATTTACAGCCAAAACTCTTCCGGTCTCCTTATTTTCAAGGACTTCGAAGGATCCAGTCTAGGTAGACCGCGTCCTTGGAGGATGCAGCCCAGGTTTTCGAACAGAGCCTCTGGTTAAGAACAGGGCTGCCCGCACTGACGCGGCTCAGGGATTACGTCACACGGAGCGTCGTGCGCAGTGAAATCAGGACATTTCCTCACTTTCTAAAAAAAACCCGGGACGCCCGGGACAGGACGTGAAATACGGATATGTCCCGGGAAATACAGACGTTTGGTCACCCTACTATATAGGCTTCTGCTGATCACCGGTAGGACACAGGTGACTTTGTTGATACAAATTCTCGACCTGCGCATGAGTGATCATTCAGTGCTTGAAGCACCGCTTCTGGGGATCAGTAGGGATGTATTAGAACCAAGAGATCAGAGGTCCGAAGAGGTGCCGGAAGGAATTCCTGAACGGAGTCGGGAATAGTGCCAGCTTCGGTCCAAAGACGGTCCTGTCCTCAGCAGGAGTCTGAGGACAGGTCAGGCAAACAGATCAGAACGGATACGGGCAGGCTCAGAGGTCCAGATGCAGGACGGGTCAGGATCAGGTAATCAGAAACTCGATAGACAACTCTCAGCACAGGCTCAAATGGAGACTGAAGCAGGTGGATAAGATGAGCAGTGATGAGAACGGGCAAGGCTGGGCAGGTGAATTAAATGAGAGATCAGACCAGACATCTGCGCCATGATCATGACACACTGAGGATCCAGTTTCTGTCTTTCTTAAGGGTCTGATCCAGTATGAGTTGCTGCTCGTCTCCACCTTATGGTCTGAAACACTTTCTATTATCTGAAGATAGTTTGCAGCTTTTTCTAACTTGCAGTTGTTGTTTTCTACTTGCATACTTTTCCTTTGCGTGTGTTTTGTGTGTTAGCATAATTTATGTGTTTGCAGAAGGTTTTGTATTTGCAGGACGTTTGCACTTTGCTGCTCTTTGTTTGCTTTTTATTGTGTGTCAGACTGATCTTTGTCTTTGTTGAGCATTTATGTATTTGCTTTGAGTTTGCACCCCTCGACCATCACCAAATAATATTGTCACTCATATGCAATATTCTTCTCTCTCACTGTGCAATAACACATGCCAGCTACTATGTAGCCTGCGTAACACTTTTTACTTATTTTGTAAGGTCGGTACATATCTGCATTGCAGGTGAAATCATGCTTTTTTTGTACTATATAGACTCTTTTTATATTGTTTGTCGTATCTATCTTTAATGACATCTTCTTTTAGCTCTTTGTACTGTATAAAAGCCACTGCAACCAGAATTTCACTGAAGGAGTAATCCCAAGGGATAAATAAAGTTGACTCTAAGTCTCAAAACACTTGCAAACATTTCTACCTTTCTTTTTTAAGCCCCTGCATCTGCTGCCATCTAATAGTAACTCAACAAATACTGTAGACACATATTACTGTCACTGACATAAACCTGGTATAATTTTAATGTTGTAAAGTATTTTGCATTAAGTTGAATTTGTTTTAGCTCCAGTTGCCTTAAACAAACTTCATCCAAAGCGTGTTAATGTTGGTGCTCGGGTTGTCATGTACCTATGTCTTGATTTTAGATAGAAAAGCTCACATGTAGAGACCGCCTTCCTGCATACATGACTAACATCGTCATGATGCTGCTCATGGTAAGTCAAAAATAACTCTGCAGATATGATTCTACCCCAAATATTGTTAAGACTAAATGTTTTTTTCTTGTAACCCTTCCCTGATAGATTGGTGTGACGTTCGCCATTGTTTTTGGTGTGATCCTTTACCGGATCTCCACCAAAGCTGCTCTGTACATGAGCTCCAGTCCCACCACCAGAAGCCACGTTCAACTGACAGTTAAAACCACAGCAGCCATCATCAACCTGGTGGTCATCCTGATTCTGGATGAAGTGTATGGTGCTGTGGCCCGCTGGCTCACTGTTTTAGGTAAGCAAAGGAACTACTGCACATCCAGAACCCTTGCTCTTCTGAAGACTCTGAGTCACAGTCTTTTAAAGAGCCTCTCAGAGAAAAATGATTTTAATAGTTTATGTGTTATTTAAAGAGGAAAAGAATCCTAAAAATAATCCAATACTCTTGTGAACGATCAATAATAAATTGTTCATGATTCCTCAGCTACATAAAGGTTAATAAATGTATAGGACTGCAGTTGTTAAACATGTAGTCAGTCATTATATTTATTCATGTTGTAAATCAGCTGTAACCAATTAAAAATCAGCAGGGTCCGAATAAAGAAAATCCCTCATCCAGTAAAGGTCTGGAGACATTTTTAATTATAATCTGTTACTTTAAATAGAATTTATCACTTATATAAAATGAGGTTTTTATGCATCCATGGTATACATTGACTTTTTAAATAAAAAAATCTAAAAAATAGAAATTTTTCCATTTTAAAATCTAAAGTGTTTGTTGAAGTAGAGAACAACAATTGTTCAGTTTGGTTTGTAGAAAATTTCCTGATTCCCATATTTTCTCAAACACCTGAACTGAGCGTTTGTTATTTTCTTTCTTTTTTCTGTCTTAATGTTCGCAGTGGGCTTTATGCTGCCCTGCAAGGCTTTAAACCTGGGTTTGAATGCAGACTAAGCCATTCTAAAGCACATATCAAGGTGCTCATTTTGAGCCTGGTGGAGAATCCTGCTTCACAGCAGCAGGTTGAGCCAAACATGCTCGAAATGTGCAGGGTCATCTTTAAGCACGCCATTTCACTTTTCTTTCACCAGTTCACCGCAGTTCTTCCAGCAGTCCACACTTTCTCTGCTCTCTTTTTCTCATCATCTTCTCCTTCTTTCCCATCGCCCGGCTTGCCACAGGTTTGCCTGCTGTGTCTAAAAGTAACAGCAGCAGCAACCCAGACTGACAGCAGCTCATTGGCTAATCTGGATCACGTGCAGCCTGGAGCCGGACGCTCCGGAGGGCTTTACCGTATTAACAGGAGAAGCGGCGCAAGTGAAATTAGACACTGTCATTGGACAACATGCAGTAATTTATAAATGTTTTAAATCAGGTTGGGTCAGAATAGAAAACACCAAAGATTATGTAAGATATGTTTTTTATTTTAGATTTTAAGTTATTATCATCCTTTTATTCTCTAAACTTTTGTACTTTTATATTAACACTTATAGTAATAATAATTTAACTTTATTGATCTCACATTGGAAAACCTCTGCATTTAACTTATCCCCTTGGGGAGCAGTGGGCTGTCATTGTGCAGCGCCCGGGGAGCAATCAGGGTCTTGCTCGGGAACCCAGAGTGCAGGCTGTGGGATTCGAACCAGGTACTTGGAACCTTCTCAGAGTACAAGCGCACTGCTCTAACCACTAACCCGCCCCGGAGGTCTTTAACGGGGTCAGCGACCCCTAGGGGGTCAACAGAGGTACTGCATGGGGGTCGCTAAAGTTTTGGTTGATTAGATTTTTTTTATATTCCCTCCTGCAATTTTTTCCACTAATTGAAATGTCTTTAAATCCACATTAACATGAATTCAACAGACTGTAGTAAACAGATAAATGGAGGCAGAAGATGTCTTTCAGTCATCAATGCACACATTCAGCGACACACAGGAGCTCTTTCAAGCTGGACACCGTTTCATTCACACCTGTCCCATCAACCAGGAATCAGAAATACTTTAATAATCCCAGGGAGAAATTACTTTAGTTACATCACTCCATCTGTAATAGAGTGACTAGAGAACCAGTTTGATAGAACACAATTTTATGCAATATATATAATTAAGGGGCCCCGCTCCATCAGTTTGGGGGTCCTTGGCCTGGAAAACGTTGAAGACCCCTGCACTAAGCCAACTCTCCCCCCTTTGAGATAAAGGGCACCGTAACTAATATCAATCATTATAATTTATTTACTACAATAACAACTTTATTAATCTATAAATTATTATTTACCTTTAAAGAACTGTGGCTGTGACAAAATGCTGCTCATAGGAACACAAATATATAAAGTAAAAGGTAAGAAGAAACAGTAAAAAATAGCAAGGGAAATAATAAAGAATAATAAAAAACAACAGTTCCATCCCACATTGGATGCCAAATAATAAAGATGGGTTTTAAAAGTAGACAGTGAAGGGGCTGATCATGGCCCTGCAGCAGGAGCACTGAGAGCTCTGTCTAAACAGCAGGCGGCCAGTAGAGGAGAGACGATGGAGGTAATGTGATTCCTCTTTACAGATTCAGTAAGGATCCTGGTCGCAGAGCTTTGGACTGAATGCAGACATTTCTGGGAGGACTGGCTGATTCCAAGCTAAAGCCCATTAAAATGTTACAAATATATTGGCTGCTGTTTCAGGGTGGTGTTCAGAAAGAAAGGGTCTGACCTTCATCAGCTGTCGAAGACAATAAAAACTGGAATCTACCACTGCTTTAACCAGAGGATCTAATTTAAAGGAAAATTCCGGTCAGCAAGGAATAATCAATGGATCATTATTTATACAGTGCAGTGAATTAATAAATTTAGCATAAATTTAGCATTAATCATTAAAAAAATACGGAGGGGTTTGTCGTTGGATTGCCAACATCAAGAGGGAGGATTTGCCATCGAACTTCTGGCCAGAGAAAAAACAGGTAATATGTAGCCAACATTTGGAAGAAGAATGTTTTCAAGATGACTTGGATAATACTGTTGGGCACGTTACTTCGAAAAAGTAATTAGCTATAGTTACTAGTTACTTCTCCCAAAAAAGTTACTAAACTTATTAAACTTTTCTTAAATTATGTTCATAATTTCTTCCTTTTTTCTGCTTTCAGAGGCTCCAAAGACCGAGAAGAACTTTGAGGAAAGGCTAATTTTTAAGACTTTCATTCTGAAGTTTGTCAACGCGTTCACACCAATTATTTACATTGCTTTCTTCAGGGGAAGGTTACTACTGAACTCTTTTCTTATTTTCATCTATTTATTTCATTAATATGAATATTTAAATTTCCTATTTTCCCTTCTAGACTGGTGGGCAGACCAGGCAGATATCTATATGTTTTTGATTCTTACAGAATGGAAGAGGTGAGGCTCATATTCATTTCTATGAATCTGAAAATCAGTTTGTTTCCGTCTATGCACAGAAATCCTTATTCTAAAGCAAATGACTCAAATAAAGCACTGAGTGTGAATAGTGTCTGCAGAAACAGCACAGTCCAGGGATATCTTCTGTTTTTTAAATCAATTCTAATGCATAATGTGAACCCATAAGAGCAACCAGAGTCAATCTCCTGTTATTCAAATGTTTAATTAACATTTCATTGAGGTTTACTTTCTGCTACTTATAATTATAAAATAACGATAAGTTATCCTAACTTTTTTTGCTCCTGTTTTTTTTTTTTGCTTCTAACCTTCTGTTCGGTGTCATGGTGGGATTAAGGGACCTAACCCACATGCAGAACACACTCAGACACGGAAGAAAAGTTTAACAGTTTATTGATCACACAATGGATAATAAAGACTGATTATGATTAACAGGTCCGGGACTGGTCACAACAGGGTTCTCTGCAGAGAGGGACAGTTCGGTTAGCTGAGATCCAGGTTCAGTTGTTTGTTGAATTATGCAGGTCTGTACCTGTTCAGTGGTTGACTGAGCGGCAGAGGGAGGAAACCAGGAGGGTCCAGAGGCAGATGGTGAGCAGAGGGCTTGGCAGTGGCAGGGCTTGACTTCAGACTTCTCGGTGTTCAGATCAGAGGTTTTCTCCAGTTATCTTCTTGAGAGCGGGCAGGCAGGTTCAGACAGATTGATCATCCAATGATCTCCAGAGATCAGACAGGTAGTGCAGATGAGAAACTCTTCCAGAGTTTTCAGGATTCAGTTCGATTCTTCCTAGGAGGCAGAGAGAACAAAACTGGTTAGGTTCAGGTTTCAAGGGAGTCAGAGAATGAGACAGGTTGGTTGGCTCAGGCTTGCTAACTGTAACTGGCTTAACACTCTGGCACTGGAGTGTTGCGCTGCCACTGCTTATATGATGGTCTCCTGATGAGTTAACGAGCCGCAGGTGGAGAAGTCAGCTTCGGCTCCAGGAGGCCTAGGGCGCCCTCTGCTGGAGAAAGGTGGACAGACCTCCAGATCCCAACAGTACCCCCCCTCAACGACCGCCTCCTGGCGGTCCAGAAGAAGTGAATGGCAGAGACTCACGGTAGTCGTCGATCAGGGAGGGATCCAGGATGAAGGTTCCCGGAACCCAAGTGCGGTCCTCCGGACCGTAGCCTTCCAAGTCGACCAGGTATTGCCAACCGCGGCCCCAACGACGGGAGTCCACGATCCGGCGAACGGTGAAGGCAAGGTGACCATCAATGTCCCGGGCGGTTGGAGGGGAGTCGGACGGAGGGCACAAAGGGCTGGTCAGAACAGGCTTGATTTGAGACACATGGAACGTAGGATGGATGCGGAGTGAAGGTGGCAGGTCCAGGCGGACGGCAGACGGGTTGATGACGGAGGCTATCTTGTACGGACCTGAGGGATCTGAGGGAGAGTTTGCGGGACATGGATTTTAACGGAATATTGCGTGTGGAAAGCCAAACCTGTTGAATGGGTGAATAGGTGGGAGCTGGGCGTCGTCTGCGATCGGCGAAGCGTTTATTTTGGGCTGATGTCCGGTTCAGAGCGGCTATGGTGTCTTTCCAAATCTTCTGAAAACGGCGGATGTGGTGTTGAACAGACGCAACAGATATGTCTTTTTCATCGGTGGGAAACAGAGGTGGCTGATAACCTATGGAGATTTCAAAAGGAGACAGACCGATTGCAGATGAAGTGTGAGAGTTATGAGCATACTCAATCCAGGGGAGAAATTGACTCCAATCTGTCGGGTTGGTAGAGGTTAGGCAACGGAGAGTGGATTCCAGTTCCTGGTTCATCCTTTCTGTTTGACCATTAGTTTGTGGATGGTAACCTGAGGAGAGTGAAGATTTAGTGTCTAGGGCAGAGCAGAAGTTTTTCCAGACCTGTGCTGTGAACTGGGGGCCTCTATCGGACAGGATCTCCTGAGGGATGCCATGGAGTCGGAAGACATGCTTAAAGAGTAGTTGAGCCGTTTGAAATGCAGTCGGGAGTTTCCTGAGGGGAACAAGATGGCAGGACTTAGAAAAACTGTCAATAATTGTGAGAATTGAAGGCCGGTTACAAAATCCACTGCAATGTGGGACCAGGGACGAGATGGAACAGGTAATGGGGTAAGCAGACCAGAAGGAGGCTGATGGGATGGTTTGTTGCTGGCGCAGATGGGCCAAGCCAAAACATATTCTTTCACATCCTTATGAAGGGATGGCCACCAGAAACGGCGAGTGATGAGGGCAATGGTTCTGCTTATTCCTGGATGGGCTGAAAACTTGGCAGAATGCATCCAGTGAATTAGACGAGATCTGACAGAAGAGGGTACATACGTCCGATTGGGTGGTCCATTTCCTGGGTCAGGTTCAGAAGCTTGGGCAAGATTGATCAGGTCGGTGATCTCCCAGGAAACGGCCCCCATGGTACAGCTGGCAGGTAAGACAGAATCAGGTTCTTCAGGTTTATCAGGTGAGTATAGGCGTGAGAGAGAGTCAGGTTTAACATTCTTGGATCCAGGTCTGTAGGAGATGATCAAATTAAAACGTGAAAAAAACAGAGACCAACGGGACTGACGTGGATTGAACCTCTTGACAGACTGAATGTAGGACAGGTTTTTATGGTCGGTCCATACCAACAGGGGGTGTTCTGCGCCCTCCAACCAGTGCCGCCACTCTTCCAGAGCCAATTTGATCGCCAGAAGTTCTCTGTCTCCGACATCTTAGTTTTGTTCTGCTGGAGAAAGCCTGCGAGAGAAGAAGGCACGGGTGAGTTTTATGATCAGTGTCGGATTGTTGGGATAACACAGCCCCTACTCCGGAATCAGATGCATCCACCTCTAAGATGAACTGCTTAGAGGGGTCTGGTTGAATCAGGATTGGTGCACTGGAAAAAAGAGCCTTGAGTTTATTGAATGCAGATTCGGCTTCAGTAGACCAGTGGAAAGCTCTTTTGACAGAAGTTAAAGCAGTGAGAGGCTGGGCTGTCTGACTATAGTTTCTGATGAATCTTCTGTAAAAATTTGCGAAACCCAGAAACCTTTGAAGTTGCTTGCGATTCTTGGGGGTAGGCCAGTCCAGAACAGCTTTAATCTTGTCCTCTGATGGCTTCACCTGCCCGCCCTCGAGCACAAATCCTAGAAAGCTAACAGAAGGTTGGTGAAACTCACATTTTTCGGCTTTGGCTAAAAGCTTGTTCTCGAGAAGTCTTTGGAGAACCAAGCGGACATGTTTTTTGTGATGAGACAGATTCTTGAAATAGATCAGGATGTCATCAATATAAACGAAAACAAAGATGTTAAGGAAATCTCTCAACACGTCGTTAACCAGGACTTGGAAACAGGCAGGTGCGTTAGTCAAACCAAAAGGCATAACCAGGTATTCAAATTGACCTAGTGGGGTTTTGAAGGCCATCTTCCATTCATCTCCCTCTCTCATTCTGAGGAGATGATAGGCATTTCTTAGATCAAACTTTGTAAACACAGTTGCCCCTTGAACGGGTTCAAACGCAGAATTCTAACAGGGGCAAGGGATACTTGTTTTTAATAGTTATCTGGTTGAGTCCCCTGTAATCAATACATGGTCGGAGAGATCCATCCTTTTTCCCTACAAAAAAGAAACCGGCACCAAGAGTGGACGAGGACGGACGAATAATCCCGGCAGCTAGGGACTCATTAATGTATTTTTCCATTGTTTCCCTTTCAGGTTTGGAGATGTTGAAAAGTCGACTGCTAGGGAGGGGAAGCCCAGGCAATAGATCAATGGCACAGTCGTAAGGTCTGTGAGGAGGAAGAGAGAGTGCACTGACCTTGCTGAAGACTGGTGCCAGATCATGATAGTCAGAGGGTACTGAGGACAAATCAGGTGGTTCAACCTCCCTCCGATTGCTTGGCGACTGAATAGATGGTGCTGCGGAACGGAGACAGGAGACATGGCAGGAGGCAGACCAGGATTCAATGTGTCTCTTAGCCCAATTTATGTGAGGGTTATGTAATTCTAACCACTCATATCCCAAAACTAGAGACGAACAGGCAGATGGGAAAACAAAAAAGGATATGGTCTCTCTGTGGTTTCCAGAGATCAGAAGTTCAAGAGTCTGGGTTTGGTGTGTGACTTGATGCAACTTTTTTCCATCAATGGCTGAAACTCTAAGAGGTTTCTTCAAGGGAATGGTTTCAATGTTTAATTGTTTAACCAGGTTAGAATCTATTAGATTCTTTTCACAACCAGAATCAATGAATGCGGACAAAGTGAGGGTTTGGTCAGACATAAATAAAGTGGCTGGTAGTAACAGATGAGGAGACCTTTCAGATTGTAGATGGTCCACCAGGCTCCTTATATCCTCTGGCGGACCCCGACTTTTATCTTAGCTGGGCAGGTAGAGACAAAATGGCCGGGCTCACCACAGTACATTCTCATTCCCCTTGTATCTCCTTTGCCTTTCCTCGGTCGTGAGTCTGGTGTGACCGATCTGCATAGGCTCTACATCAGAGGTTTCTGTGGAGGGAGAGACGCCATGAGTCAAAGAGGCAGGTACAGAAACAGGCTGGTTACGACTCCTAGGTCTGGAGTCGGTTTCAGGTGACACCGGAAAAACAGAAGCACTGTTAGAAATTGAGGCAGGTACAGAACAGACATGGCTCCTTACTTTAGCTCTGGTTCTGGCTCGGAGTCTATTGTCCAAACGAATTGTAAGCCTGATTAATTCCTCCAGGGTAGCTGGTTCGTCAATGGTGGCTAATTCATCCTTTATTTCTTCGTTTAAAGCCTTGAAGTAAGCGCTTTTCAGCGCACACTCATTCCACCCGGAAGCAGCAGCCTTGACCCGGAAGTCGATCGAAAAATCGGCTACGGATTTATTTCCTTGTTGTAAACTTAGCAGAGCTCGAGAATCAATTGATTTGTCTGAATCTTGATTGAAAACTTGTGAAAATTCCTTGATAAATTCATCGAAGGTGCAAGTTATACTAGAAACTGAGGGAAATCTGGCTTCAGCCCATTCAAGGGCTCTTCCGGTCAATTGAGAGAGGATGAAACCTATCCTCCTCTTGTCATTGGAAAAACTGGATGGAGAGTGTTCAAAAATTAACTTGCATTGGAATAAGAAACCTTTACATTTACTAGTCAAGCCGGAGAATCTTACAGGAAGTGACGGACGGAATTCAGGAAATGACGGAACAGGTTCTGACCTTTGAGGCGGGTCTGGCTCCGGAACCGGAAGTTGGGCTGGCTTCGCTCTGGGAGTAGCATCTCTGAGATAGTTGGCTAATTGCTGCAAAGTTTGGTTAGTTTGGCCTAAGCGTGTATTGAGCTCACGGAGGGTGGAGTCGTGACCTTGGATAAGGGCTCCTTGTTCTTCAATCATCCTCCTGAGATGGACTGCTGGGTTAGTTTGTTGGCCAGAGTATTCTGTCATGGTGGGATTAAGGGACCTAACCCACATGCAGAACACACTCAGACACGGAAGAAAAGTTTAACAGTTTATTGATCACACAATGGATAATAAAGACTGATTATGATTAACAGGTCCGGAACTGGTCACAACAGGGTTCTCTGCAGAGAGGGACAGTTCGGTTAGCTGAGATCCAGGTTCAGTTGTTTGTTGAATTATAAAGGTCTGTACCTGTTCAGTGGTTGACTGAGCGGCAGAGGGAGGGAACCAGGAGGGTCCAGAGGCAGATGGTGAGCAGAGGGCTTGGCAGTGGCAGGGGTTGACTTCAGACTTCTCGGTGTTCAGATCAGAGGTTTTCTCCAGTTATCTTCTTGAGAGCGGGCAGGCAGGTTCAGACAGATTGATCATCCAATGATCTCCAGAGATCAGACAGGTAGTGCAGATGAGAAACTCTTCCAGAGTTTTCAGGATTCAGTTCGATTCTACCTAGGAGGCAGAGAAAACAAAACTGGTTAGGTTCTGGTTGCAGTTTGTAGCACAGACCTGAAAAACGCTAACATCTACTTCCAGCCGCCACCAACAGTAGAGGAAAAACCCCAAGAGGCGAGCGGGCCTGAGGCAGCTGCTGCTGGGGATTCCCAGTGACAGCGCACCGCCGGTATGTGGGGGGCTGAGCTGCTCCCACAGAGAAATTATCTTTGAAAGCAGGATGGTAATCTGGATGAACTGACTGCACAGACCATGTTTTCAGGTGGACCTTCTCACTTCAACATAGATTCAAACTACTTTTTAACCGCTGATCACAGCAAATATAGCAAAGCTGCTCTCTGGCATTGAACACAGGAGCAGCTGAAGCATCAGACGCATCTGGACACACTTTACTTGACGTCTGACCTTGATGTGGACAAGCATCAAAACCGCAACAGCAGAAGCTTCTTTGCTGCTTCTAGTTCTTGCGGTCTAAACATAGCATTATTCATTAAAATAAGCCAAGCGACTCTCAATTTTATCCGCTATTGTTCCAGGCAAAGAAAGGATAGGATAGCTCCGCCCAACCAATTTCAACCACAGCTAGAGCCTCCGAATTAAACTTACACAAGCATCGAAAATGAAACAGTGTGCGCGTTTTTGCTGCTTCTGCTGCGTGTGGTCTGAATGTAGCAGCACCAATCATTGCAGCCTCACTACATGCACAGACTTTAAAGGAATAGTACACCCAAAACATGATTAGCCTTCATTTTCTACTCACCTCCATGCTGAACAACACTCTGGAGTACTTTTTTGATATCTCAAATGCATCTGGAGATCTGGGAGACTTCTTGCTGTCTGCTGACATTCAAATAATGGAGGTCTATGGCGCCCGAGACAGAAAGGTCCACAAAAGTCCACAAAAACTTGTCAATATTCCTCCATACTGCTCGTCCAATGTAATCCAAGTGTCCTGAGTGGGTAGCATCCAGAATTTACTCGAAACGAAGTCATTTAGAACGTTTTAGAGCCTAAACAGTAGTGTATAGGATTTCCTAATAGCGCCCCCATGCGCGCTCACGATTCTACGGAAGCCGGCAGACCAAACCAGCGCATTCAGCTCGGCAAAGAACTCATGCTCTTCCTCAACACTGAAGTCCTCAGACATTTTTCTTTCGTTGTTTCTTTCTTTGCACAGGTAAACAGCACATTTCTTCTTCTACGCTTGCATTATTGGAAGAGCAGCCGCTGAATGCGCACTTCCTTCCGGTTTGGTCTGCCGGCTTCCGTAGAATCGTGAGCGCGCATGGGGGCGCTATTAGGAAATCCTATACACTACTGTTTATGCTCTAAAAACATTCTAAATTACTTCGTTTCGAGTAAATTCTGGATGCTACCCACTCAGGACACTTGGATTACATTGGACGAGCAGTATGGAGGAATATTGACACGTTTTTGTGGACTTTTATGGACCTTTCTGTCTCGGGCGCCATGGACCTCCATTATTTGAATGTCAGCAGACAGCAAGAAGCCTCCCAGATCTCCAGATGCATTTGAGATATCAAAAAAGTACTCCAGAGTGTTGTTCAGCATGGAGGTGAGTAGAAAATGAAGGCTAATCATGTTTTGGGTGTACTATTCCTTTAAAAACGTTTAGATTCTTTAGCTGCGAACCAGATTTGCTCAGGAGTTCAGAGAGCTTCGTGGCTGAGCTGCTCCATCAGAGTCTAGCAGCAGAAGCTCTTTATTCTCATCGCCCCTCAGATGTTAACCTGCATATCTCTCACTGAGACAATGCTTATTGTTTGACAGCCAGTAAAATAAAATCAGTAAAAAAAAAATTAATAAAAATCTATAATAAATTGTCCATCGGAAATAAAGTAAAGTCTGCCAGGCGCTCTTCCCAACCCTATTCTCAGAAGGACTTTTATCTTCTTGACCTGCAGCTGGATTTCTAAGGCCAGAGGGTCTCCCATATTCTCTCTGCTGACCGTAACCCATGCAGCCACTATCATGCACTGAATTTGCTGCCCCCTAGAGTCTGTTTCTATGAAGTACATTTAAAAATGAGCAAAGTTGCTTTGGCTGTACCAGATGTGATGAATTTTCAGTGTTACAGATTGATTAGATCAGTGTGTAAACCTGTTTCTGGGAGAATGGCCAGACCCTCCTATAAACCGCAGTCTCTGAAGAGGTGAAGCTGTTTGCAAAGGCCGAGCCAAAATCAAGAAATCCCCCTCAAGATAAAAACTGATGTCACTCTGATTCTTATGTTTGTAGAGAGTATTTAAAACTCTCGCTGCATATCAGTCGCCCAAGGGCCTGTGAAACAACTCCATCCAATGCTGTAATAAGAACTGTAGCTGTAGCATCTTATGTTATCTCTAATTTTCTAATCATTAATGATGCTGTGTAAAGGCAGAGTTATTTTCTGGTGTTACTCTTTTCCCTGTGTCTCTGGTTCCCAGTGCTCTGATGGAAGCTGTCTGATGGAGCTGTGCATCCAGCTGAGTATAACCATGCTGGGAAAACAGCTCATTCAAAACAACCTCTTCGAGATTGGAATACCGTGAGTAAATCTCAGGCTTTGGCACAAAACATCGATTTTAAATCAAGTTTTAAAACTAAGCAGCAATTTTTATAAAAACTGCAAACCTTTAAAAAGAACATTTTAATCATGAATCTGTCGGCAGAGTAAACTTATCAAATCTATCTTGTTTTTTTTTTCCCCCTCACATTTTTCAGCAAATTAAAGAAGCTGATTCGATACATTCAGTCGGAGCAAGGAGCTTTTCAGGAGGAGGAGAGACAGAAGAAGCTGCGCAGATATGAAACGGACCACTTCCTGGAGCCATTCGGGGGACTGACGCCTGAATATATGGAGATGAGTTAGTAGAAGGCATTCATTTTATGAACAGACTACTTTACAGATTAAGGCTGGACTTTAAACAGTATGCACCAAAACCTCATGTCGATGAGTTTTACATCCTGGTTGATGAGTTAAATCCCCATCCAGTCATCTGGTCTTTAATGGAAATAATAAATATATGGCCTAACAGAGAAATGAGAAAGTAAGAAATCCTTTGGTAAAAGTAAAATAATTAGCTTTTTTCAAACTAGCGATTTGTTAGTTTTAACCATTGGCAGCTGGTGGAGTTCTCTCCAGGTGGCGCTATAACTTCAAAAACCAATCAAATGTATACTAAGGTATCTGTCATAAAAGGGGACTGATGGACCCAGGATTCAAGGTGAGACAGTCAGTAGGAAAGTTCAAAACGTTTATTATAACAAAACTAAGAGAACAGAAGCGGGTTGCTGTGGAGCTGTGGACCTGCAGGAGGGGGGCGGGGCTCCGCCCAATCACTAACACTCTCTGGAGGGAGAAACACAGGTAAGTGACCACAATAATCAGACAGGGAATGAGTATCCGTGTGAGTCACTTACCTGGTTTAACCTTTCAGCCAATTCTCTGCGTAGAAGGTAGGATCCGGTGCAAAGCATTCCAGGGTTTCCCTGATCTATGCAGCCACCACAGAGAGCAGATGAGACCGATCCAAGTCAGAACTGGACAGTTCTGAGATCCAGGAGTCCTCTATTCGATTAGGAGTTCCGATCCACACAGGAACAGACAGAAATGGGGTTCCAGGAATCCACAGAGCATCCAGGCCGGTTCAGAGTTCCAGAGAGTCCAGCAACGTGTTCACAAAGACATGCTGAGATGAAGACAGGCGGGCTCATTGGTTGAGACAAGACTAGGTACCGGGGTTTCTGCAAGACTTTAAACTGATCTCCTCCTAAAAGCCAGCCTTATAGGAATAAAACTGATGCTCTCCGCACCATCAGGGCCCCGCATAGAAGGACCAGAGCACAATCAGGAAAGAAGGCAGACACAAAAACCCTCTCAATCCGCTTACCGCCAGGAACCAGGACATGAGCCATGGAATAAACTAACTAAACAGACAATAACAGGCATAAACAGACAATGATCTGGCCCTGATAGCTGGGCTGAGCCGAATATAAAGCAGAACGTACAGGTGGATGGGATCAGAATAAAGCAGGTGAAAGACATGAACATTTAAGGCCAGCTATCAGCGCAGGTCATGACAGAATCACAGCAGTATATATACGTACATGAATGCCAACAACATAAAAACTACATTCTAACATGTTCTACAAAGTACTTTAAATCAGTCCTTCCTGTCTTTATCCATGCTGGGTCAGATCCTGACGTTTGAAAAATGAAGCAGGCAAAGCAAAATAAAGCGTTATCTCGCTGCATGCAGTTAGCCTAGCCTTGTAGCTAAATAATTGCTGCTTTACTTATCACTTAAGCTTAAATATTTATCTTGCGCATCTAAAAAATTTTTTATATATTTCCAATTTTTTAAATTTAATATTTAAATTTTTTTGTCTTAATTAAGGTAATTGGGTGGGTGGTGCAGCGCCTTAACGCTCTCTATTGGCTATCCACCATTGGTTTTAACAAATTTATAGAAAATAACTCCAGACCTAAACTGATTCTGGATGAATTCATCTAGTCCTAAATCTGTGCTTCATAAAGGCTTGATAAGAATTTCAAGTCGCATAAAACAGGAGTGGAACTCCAGGCTAAAAAGTAAGCTTGGAGCAAAGCCAAAGTTGGCTAATGTTGGATGAATTCGCAACATATCGAGAAATGCTGATGAGGAGTAATTCCTCAAATACAGTAGCAGCCATTCAAAATGGCCCTTCCCAGTAAAATGCCAGCCAAATGGCAGCCCACTTCCCTGCAACATGTTTTTACTCTGACTCCACCCTTTCACTGAATTACAGGGTCTGACCAGGAGATGGCGCTAATCTTTAGATCTTAATTTCCACAAATCATGGCAGAAAGAATATTATAGAACAAAGATTGATGTTTGAAAAGGAATTGTAGGGGACCATCCAAGGACTAGACAAGGAAAGTGGGGAAATGTTGAATGGCTACTACTGTAGAACTAACCTGAAAGGGCACTAATGCACCCAGTTATACGGAATCCAATTCATGACTGAATTGGTTTCCGTATCCAGTTCAAGACTGTCCCCCAACCACTCTGTAGAAATCAGGGAGTTATTAGTTTGGTGCTGCAGAGATGCTAGTTGCCTCCTATCCCTTCTGCACAATTCAAGCAGTGATTCTCTGAGGTCAGAATTCTTCTAAAAGAACAAATATGCAATGAAACTAAAACACACGCTGATTTATTCCCCTGGTGCATTTTGAAGGTTTCAGATTCATAACCACCAAGCTGAAATATAACACACACACACTTTCCATGCGTCATACCCTCGCATGTCGAGGATGCTTGGAAAGATAATTTAACAGATGTGTCTGAATAAAAACACTTTTAGAAATGACGGTCTTTCCACCATCAGTCATCCAGTCATTCAAGCAAACACTGATGGTGGTGAGCTACATTGCAGCCACAGCTGCCCTCACTGATAGAAGCAAGGCTGCACTGACGCCACCGGGCCTCCTGACCACCATCACTAGGCAATGCAGGTGAAGTGCCTTGCCTAAGGACACAATGGACCTGAAAGCTGGAGGTGGGGCTTGCAAGGCAAACTCCATCCGACGCCACTGTTGCTGATCTGATCTCAACTATGTCTTGGTAGTTTTGAATGAGAATGAAAGAGAATGAGATGAGATGAATCTGAGATGTCAAACAGTGAGCAGTGAGAGATAGCGTGTTAATTTGTAGCTGAGCCAGAACTGAGACGGTGGATCCAAGTAAAGAGATGAGTGAATGAGAGACATATTGGAAATCAGCACAATACGTCTCATTTTCTCTTAGCTGAGATCTGGAAAAGAAAGAGATATAGAGAACTACCACCGCTCTCACTGTCAGACTTATTTTTCAAAAGAGAGATTTAAGAAGAATAAAAAAACACACTCTGGTATCAGTCAGAACTCATTTATATCTAGGAGATGTAAATTTGACATAAAGGATATCTGATCTTCAATTCTGCTTTGCTAAGGGCCAGCCTTTGCTAGGGGCCAGTCTTTGCTGAGGGCCAGCCTTTGCTATGGGCCAGTCTTTGCTAAGGGCCAGCCTTTGCTAGGGGCCAGTCTTTGCTGAGGGCCAGCCTTTGCTATGGGCCAGTCTTTGCTGAGGGCCAGCCTTTGCTATGGGCCAGTCTTTGCTGAGGTACAGCCTTTGCTATGGCCCAGTCTTTGCTAAGGGCCAGCCTTTGCTAGGGGCCAGTCTTTGCTGAGGGCCAGCCTTTGCTATGGGCCAGTCTTTGCTGAGGGCCAGCCTTTGCTATGGGCCAGTCTTTGCTGAGGGCCAGCCTTTGCTATGGGCCAGTCTTTGCTGAGGTACAGCCTTTGCTATGGGCCAGTCTTTGCTGAGGGACAGCCTTTGCTGTGGGCCAGTCTTTGCTGAGGTACAGCCTTTGCTATGGGCCAGTCTTTGCTGAGGTACAGCCTTTGCTATGGGCCAGTCTTTGCTGAGGTACAGCCTTTGCTATGGGCCAGTCTTTGCTGAGGGACAGCCTTTGCTGTGGGCCAGTCTTTGCTGAGGTACAGCCTTTGCTATGGGCCAGTCTTTGCTGAGGGCCAGCCTTTGCTATGGGCCAGTCTTTGCTGAGGGCCAGCCTTTGCTATGGGCCAGTCTTTGCTGAGGTACAGCCTTTGCTATGGGCCAGTCTTTGCTGAGGGACAGCCTTTGCTGTGGGCCAGTCTTTGCTGAGGGCCAGCCTTTGCTATGGGCCAGTCTTTGCTGAGGGCCAGCCTTTTCTATGGGCCACTCTTTGCTGAGGTACAGCCTTTGCTGAGGGCCAGCCTTTGCTGAGGTACAGCCTTTGCTGAGGGCCAGCCTTTTCTATGGGCCACTCTTTGCTGAGGTACAGCCTTTGCTGAGGTACAGCCTTTTCTATGGGCCACTCTTTGCTGAGGTACAGCCTTTGCTGAGGTACAGCCTTTGCTGAGGGCCAGCCTTTTCTATGGGCCACTCTTTGCTGAGGTACAGCCTTTGCTGAGGTACAGCCTTTGCTGAGGGCCAGCCTTTTCTATGGGCCAGTCTTTGCTGAGGATTCAAATGAATGATCCTTGAACCAAATTATATAAAACTGGATTTTATTCAATTATACTATTAGACCGATTTTAATGCATTTGAATTTTAACTGTTTTAGGATTGTGTCCTTGGATAATTTATTTTGATTGAATATAATCTAAATAAATGAAATTTAATTGGATTATTTTGTATTCTTGTTTTTTTTTTTGTTTTTTTTGCAGTTATCCAGTTTGGCTTTGTCACGTTGTTTGTGGCGTCTTTCCCTCTTGCTCCATTATTCGCTCTCCTCAACAACATCATTGAAATACGGCTTGATGCTAAGAAATTTGTAGCCGAGTTACGAAGACCAGTGGCGGCGAGAGCCAAAGATATTGGTGAGTTAGAATAAACCCATTTTCCTTTGTTGAGGTGCAGTGAGGTTAACTGTTCAGGGAATTATTGTTTTACTTTCATGTGTAGGTATATGGTACGACATTCTGAGAGGAGTGGCAAAAGTTGCTGTTATCATCAATGTAAGTAAAATGAAACACACACATCTGTTAACAACAAAAAAAGTTAAGAAAAACAATCCACTTTGTTTTCAAGTTTGAAGACGTTTCTCTTCCCATTCAGGAAGCTTTTTCTGCTGGTTGACCCGCTCGTTCGGTTCAATTTGCATGTTTTCTAATCGAAAACATGGCTTTTTTTTGGTCCACTCTATAAAACCTCAAAGTTAATGCTATTTCTGACATTTTTATTGAAAGAGCTTCCTGGGTGGAAAGAGTAACGTCCTCAAACTTGAAAAGAAAGTCCAGTGGATTGTTTTTTTAACTTTTTTGGAATGACAATGACCTGGATGACTGAGAATCTTCACCAGCATCTGTAAACATGTATACTTTGAATTAGATTATGCCAGACCTTTAACTTGGAATATTTCATAGGGTGTTCACCTTGGTGTATCATATCTCCAGCTGTGCATGGTGTATCGGGGTCGGGGGATCCTCCCCATGGAAAATGTTTAAATTTAGACTCTGAAACACTATTCCCTGCATTTTGAGTTGGAATGCAGCTCACATTTTGTCTTTGTTTCAACACTACTTTAGTCCTGATTATTGGAGGTATGTGTGCTTGACTAGAGGTGGAAATGTCATAAGGAATACCTGAAATCATTTTTAGCTACAATATTATGTTTCATAGGTTAATTCAAACATAAGAAAGTCTAATGCTACGTTCACGCCGCACGCTATCAAAGAAGCTTCTGCTGCTTCATTTCTGATGCTTGCCCACATTAAGGTCAGACGTCCAGTAAAGTGAGTCCAGATGCGTCTGATGCTTCTACTGCTCCTGTGTTCAATGCCAGAGAGCAGCTTTGCTATATTAGCTGTGATCAGTGGGTAAAAAGTAGTTTGAATCTATGTTGAAGTGAGAAAGTCCTCCTGAAAACATGGTCTGTGCAGTCAGTTCATCCAGATTACCATCCTGCCTTCAAAGATTTTTTCTCTGTGGGAGCCGCTCAGACCCCCACATACCGGCGGTGCGCTGTCACTGCGAATCCCCAGCAGCAGCTGCCTCAGGCCTGCTCACCTCTTGGGGGTTTTCCCCTACTGTTCGTGGCGGCTGGAAGTAGATGTTAGCTGTTTGCATGTACGTAATCCAAACTGCAGGCACCAGGATAATAAAATCAAACATATTTTGCCAGCAGGTTTCAGCATTTTAAGTTAATTTAGGCGTTAATAAACTGTTTCAGAGGAGTGATCATAGCGCTCTGCATCAGCAGTGCTGTGTCTGTCTCCCTGCCAGCTCCCAGACCAGTTTCTCTGATTGGTTGATGTGGCGCCTCGTCCAGCAGCTAAATTTAAAATATTCCAACTACAGCAGCTGCTGCTGGGGAAATCTTTTATATTTGAGTAACGTTTCAAGGGTAAAATAGTGCATACCAAAGCTGTACATCCCAAAACCAGGGCAAATAGTTTGTCATTTTATAGTAAAGGCCGGACAATGTAAGACTGCATGCATTGCTAGCTATAAGCATGCATTATGTTAAAATAAAAAGAGTAAAGAGACTAAAAACAAGGAAGGAGAAGGTAGAAGACCTGAAGACGTTACTGGACATCACAGCACCATCAGAGATCCTGATTTAAGGGAGAGTCGTTTCTTTAACACCATGACTTCCTGGAAGAAGCACCAGAGCAGGCATGTGTGGACTGTCATGCATGTGAGACGGTGCCGGCGCTCTACAGAGTGTCTTGGACAGAGATCTCAGTGACGGAGAATGTGCTGAAGTTGCAGCCCCAGTTTGGGTGTCACAGCCCTGACTGAAACCATTGGCAGACTGAGACTTTCCACTACGGTACCTCTCCTTCTGCTGTCATCATCTTGGCATTTTTTTAAATGTCACATGTTTTCTTTGTCGCTTTCATCTGGAGTTTAATTGAATTTTAAAAATAGGCTCATCAATTTTCCACGTTTTGTTTCACTTTAAAAACAGTTTCTTAGCCGTATGAGTCTGAATCTATCCTGGTCTCATCCAATCTGACCATTGAACATCCAGCCAATAGGAACCAGATGCATCCAGATACATGGTTATTACAATTCAAATGCTCTGAAATTGGCTGATATGTACAGAACTGCCTTAGCAGTCTAATTCAGTTCTATTTAGTTTATTTCTATGGCTCCAATTCACATCATGTCATCTCAGGTCACTTTCCAGTTCACCAGATCATCCAGTAAGATTGATTCAAAGTTTTCTATCTAAAGAAAACCAGCTGATTGCATCGACTCATTGACTCTTCAGCAATCCCTCACACTAAGCATGCTTGTAGTGACAGTGGAGAGGAAAAACTCCCTTTGAACAGGAAGAAACCTCCAAAGCTTTCATTGTGGAGCTTCTATTTAATGTGGTAGATTGTGACCATGCTGCCATGATTAGTGAGTCCTTCACTCAAGCTGCCTCAAAACAACCTTTTTTAGTAAAGGTTTTTTTTTTAGTAAATTTATATACATGTTTAAGCCAGAATGATTTGACATTTAAATATGATTGATATAATAAATATGACCATCTTTAAGCCATTCAACAGAAAAGTGTCTCCTACCTGAGATAAAATACTGTAGAAATTCCCTTTTATAACTAATGGCTAAAATAAGTTCAGCTGATTTCTTGTAGCCATTTACCCTAACGTCCATCTATTTTAATCCTTGTAATGGATAGTGAGTCTAATAATTTTTTTAGACTATTTAATGTAAATTATTGGAAGTGAATGTTCTAAATGTTGCAGATTGTTTATGGATGTTTGTCTGTTTTGATTATCATTGATTGTGGTTTGTTTAATGGTATTTGTACTGTAATTTTTAAGGGGTTTTTTGTATCTCACAGGGCGCCATAGAAAATGAGGGCGGGCCATATAAAAGCTGGTAGAACCATTGTACCAATGAATGACTTGAACCGTTAAGCTGTTTGTCATTAAGAAATAAACACTTAGTATTTCCCAAGGAAAGCAGCCAGTTTTCACTGTAGCAGCTCCCCAGCATAGATGGATTTTGAATCAATTAAAGTTGCAAATCATGTCTTAAAGTGCATATTCTCAGGTGACACTTTGAAATTTGTGGACTTTAAGATACATTTACAACTTTAGTTTATTCAAAATCCATCTCTGCTGGTGAGATGCTACACTTCTCAATGTCCACTCCAATGTCTCAATGGTTTTGAGTCAATGTTTCCCAAATTTTTTGTCTTTTTATGTGCTCTCTCTGTCCTTTGCTTGTTTTCTTAGAGAGCAAAACCTACATAGAAAGTACAGTGAATCCGTTGTTGATTTACTGAAAACATGCACTGTCATGCACTGTGCGATTTATGGAGACTTACAGAGGATTACTTCCTCTGCTTTCAGGGTGAATTAGGCAGGTTGGCTGTTGTTTTGAATGTTTTTCACTTGAAGACTATCCCAAAGTGGAATAGACAGTAGCTGAGTGGTGCAAACACTAAAATTAGACTTGCAAACCCTAAAAAGTAGAAATGGAAATAGGTGGCAACCATAACATTCGCTGCAAACAGATAAATGATGTTAACAAAAAACATGATGCAAAAGGAAACATTCTGCAGTAACATCTGCAAGATAAGAAAAGCTCCAAAGGACAGTGGAAGTGCTGCAGACGGTTTGGCTAAAGCAGGATGCTGAGACATTGTTTGAATGGAAACCTACCTTTTCTGTCCTCCCTAAACGTCCTCTGGACGGGCAACCTGTTTTTTTTCTTTATAAGATAAAAACCAAGTAATGCCTACGGTCAGTTTTCTTTCTAAAGGCATCAGATATTTCTTTGCACAGTTTTTACTCTGCTTTCAAACATCAGCAGCATTCAGTTCAATTCTTGATCCTTAAACAGGAAAACACTTCTAGTACCTGAAGCACTTGATGTGATTGCTGCAACTTGCAGGACAGAGCCCCCTGGGGGCTGAAACTAATAAGGAGGAGCAGACAGAGCAGTTCAAAAGAAAAAAGAAAGAAAAACTTGGATAAACTTCCCAGATCTCTCTGAGAATCACCTCTCTGCCTCAGTCACCATAGAAACCGTCCCACAGAGTTTATTGTTGCGTTTTTTCTGTTCTTTAGACGTAGATCTCATTATGTTTTTAATAGATGAACATTCTCTATCTGTTCTTGTTCTAGATCCGGTACAGACTTGTTAAATAGAGCTTTGCTTTATAGAATGCACCATTGGCTTTCATTTAATAACCTTTGATAATGTGTTCCAGTCAAATGTGGGAAATAGCTTTCATGTGTGTATAACACAGAGACAGAAGTGAAAATAATCTGCTAAGATCTGCTCATCCTGCCTTATTGGATCGTTTCTATAAGCAATCAGGGTGAAAAAAATCGGTTCGAGATTAAAAAGTCGTACCAGCCGGTGTGTTCAGGCCTTACACTGAGCTCACATTGACTACAGTGCAGCTGTGATCGAAGCACCTCCAGGCACCCAAAGTCATTAAAGTCAATAATTGGATAGAAAGCCTTTTAGCTATGGTTTTTGTAGTGTGGTTCTGGTTGCTGAGTTGGTGGGCTGTTCCAAAATATTCTGCAAGATTTTTATTTTTGCTGGATGTAACAGTGGTCTCATGTCAAGGACCAGAGAAAACACCCACACCTTCTTATGCAAAACAGTATCTATGCTTCTTTTTCTATGTCTGCTTCTGTCTCCTTGAACCCCAGTCGGCCTCAGCAGATGGCCGCTCACACTGAGCCTGGTTCTGCTGGAGGTTTCTTCCTGTTCAAAGGGAGTTTTTCCTCTCCACTGTCGATATAAACAATTTTTTTCCTTAGATACAAAACTTTGAATCAATCTGACTGGATGATCTGGTGAATTGTAAAGTGCCTTGAGATGACATGGAGTGAATTGGGACTATAGAAATAAACAGAATTGAAACTGAATCATAGAAGCAAACAAAGGCGCTACTGGAGAATTAAAATGGATGTTTATGAGCACAGATAACATGTTTAGCACCTGCACTCTAGGAAAAAGCATGAACCTCTGCTGTGTCCTTTGGTAGAGTTGATCTGGGCTCAGCTGGCTGCGTCATCAATGCGGTGCAAACCTGGATCATGAACGCAGCCATACCTGAGTAAGGATGAGCCAGGAATTAGTCTAAACACAACATGTTTGAGCCTTTGGCCAGTGTCCTTCAACCTTTACATGCTTTGACACATCTGACTCAATGATTAGTTGAACGGCAGAGATGGAACTCATGCTAGTGAAGCAGTTTAGTCCTTTGCTTCTGATGTAAATGGCTGTAGACAGATCTCATACTTGGAATCCATCGGCCGTCGACGATTTGAGTTTGTGACCCCTTGTCTTTGGTGAAGAAAAGTTTCTGTTCATTACAATGCTTTTAAATTGGCTCAATATGGATCACAATCAATTGGATCTTGTTAGTAATGTCTATCTGGTTGATAGACCCCTCTGTTCAACAAAAGTATAAATGATATTGAAAAAGAAGAGGATTCAGCCATAGATTCAGTTCTTGTTGTCTAACTAAAATCTAAATGTCCACCCCTTCTTCTAGGCATTTGTCATCTCCTTCACATCAGACTTTATCCCTCGGATGGTGTACCTGTATATGTACAGCCCTGATGGCTCCTTGCATGGATTTGTCAACCATACCCTGTCCTACTTTAATGTCAGTCACTTTGAGCCTGGCAAAGAAACTATGGATCCAATGCCTTATGGATACGCCATTGATGTTTGCAGGTAGGAGTCGGTCTTGTTTATATACATAAAAGTCTCCTTCATTTTGTTTTCTATTTTCCAAAATGAAGCAACGGTTTCCCAGGAAGCTTTTATCCATGATTGAATTGCTTCCTTTAAGCAGACAGCGCATCACAATTGTGGATAACTACGGTAGGTCTAACCTTAATATACCCATCTACCCACAAAGCCTGAATGCATGTCAGGGATCTAGTAGGCTGGTTCAAGGGCCGCTGTGCTGCTGCAAAACTTTTACCTTAAAACATATATTTTCAATATAAAACTGCTGTAAGCATTACACAAGCCAAACACATATTTACAGAGAAGGAACCCAGTGCAGAGCATGACTTATTCTTACATAATGTATTAAGTTCAGGTGATCATTGTGGTCTATTCCACAACATTTTTTTTTTAGGTTTTATAATGATAGGGAAAAAGAAGGGAAACAGTTTTCATGATACTAATTAGTAGTTGAAATATCATCAACAAAGACATGGCTTTGGTTTTGAAACGCTTGGATTCAAAAACAGGTATTTTTAACATACAAGTTTAGAGGTGGGAATATTAGACAGCCCTTTATTTACAGCTGCAAACACACAGTGATGGCTGGATGGATGGATGGATGGCTGGATGGATGGATGGATGGATGGATGGATGGATGGATGGATGGATGGATGGATGGATGGAGGGACGGATGGACGGATGGGCGCATGGACGGACGGACGACGGGTGGATGGACGGACGTATGGATGGATGGATGGATGGATGGAGGGACGGATGGACGGACGGACGACGGGTGGATGGACGGACGTATGGATGGATGGATGGATGGATGGATGGATGGATGGACGGATGGGCGCATGGACGGACGGACGACGGGTGAATGGACGGACGGACGACGGGTGGATGGACGGACGTATGGATGGATGGATGGACGGATGGGCGCATGGACGGATGGACGACGGGTGGATGGACGGACGTATGGATGGATGGATGGATGGATGGACGGATGGGCGCATGGACGGACGGACGACGGGTGAATGGACGGACGTATGGATGGATGGATGGACGGATGGGTGCATGGACGGACGGACGACGGGTGAATGGACGGACGTATGGATGGATGGATGGACGGATGGGCGCATGGACGGATGGACGACGGGTGGATGGACGGACGTATGGATGGATGGATGGACGGATGGGCGCATGGACGGATGGACGACGGGTGGATAGACGGACGTATGGATGGATGGATGGATGGATGGATGGATGGACGGATGGGCGCATGGACGGACGGACGACGGGTGAATGGACGGACGGACGACGGGTGGATGGACGGACGTATGGATGGATGGATGGATGGATGGACGGATGGGCGCATGGACGGACGGACGACGGGTGAATGGAGGGACGGACGACGGGTGGATGGACGTACGTATGGATGGATGGATGGATGGATGTTTTTGTAGATGCAGAGAAAATGGTGTGACATGAGCTAAGCTGTTTTAATCTCTTCTCTGCTCATCATCTTCTTCAAACACCAGAAAAACATGAGGATTGTTGTATATTATTTTAGTTGCATAAATAACGAGGCGACAGGCGAGAATGTGGCGGCGGTTAGCTTTACTGGAGAAGCTAAACTGAACAGTAAACAGGAAATCTACCCCCAGGGCACCACAACATGCTATTTTCCAGAAAATGGGCCCCACAATGTAACAAAACAAAAACCCATAAACTCACACACCACTAATCAAAGCAAATTTTATCTTAAGGCACTTTAGATAAGACCAACAAACGGTTGCTGGATTCAGGTACTTAATCAGACAATGCAAATCAAATCCAATTGTACAAACAGATTAACATTTTAATACACACAAAATTCAGTTTAAGGTTTATCTTGTAGTACGAGTTAATTCACAGTTTCTGGCTTTGTCTGGAACGGAAACAAAGCTAAAATAAGCTCTAAGCCAGCAGTACAACATAAGGGATGACAAAGAGTACATTTATATAGTTTAAAATAGTACCATTCATAAAATGATACAATACTCTGTTTTTTCCCCCTAGCATTGTTTTGTCATTACATTGTCAGAAATACAGAGCAAAGAAGCAGTGGGCTGGCATTGTGCGGCACCCAGGGAGCAGCCTGGGGTTAAGGGTCTTGCTCAGAGACCCAGAGTGGCATTGGGGCTCAAACTCACAACATCTGGATTCCAAGTGCAATGCCCTAACCAGCAGGTCACCACTCCTCTAATGATGTTATCATCATCTCATCTGAATAAATACTAAAAATGCTCATTGCCACAATATTTGGAGCTACAAAGAAAAACAATATTATCAATGAACATTAGACAGGTGATTATCTCTCCATCCATTATTCTCAGATCTGCATGATTCTCAGATCATGCAGATCTTGTCTCATTCAGTTTTCCTTTCACTACCTCTAATGTTTTTCATTAGGAATGTTCATATATCAAAACTGAGTGGCAGAAAAATAGACCTATGCCTGGAAGTGGGGCTTTGAACTCAGAACCTCAGGATTCCCGGCACAATGACCTAACCACTAGGCTGCCACTCCCTAAGGCATGTATTAGCATGAAGGGGTGCTGCCTACGGACCCACACTGGCAGCTCATTCCCTCATTTAATAGCAGGACGGGTGATTTAGCACTTGAGCTAGCCAGCCGCTGAGCCATTTGTGGCTTTATTAAACACTGTACGTCTTCTGTGCAGAGAGAACTTAAATTTATCGGCAGCAAAATTTGTGATGAGGATGAGGGACAGAGAGAGTCATCATGTCCTCCAGCAGTCTAAGCCTATAGTAGCATAACTATAGAGATAGCTCAGGATAACCTGAGCCACTTTAACTATAAGCTTTATCAAAAGGGAAAGTTTTAAGCCTAGCCTTAAAAGTAGACAGGGTGTCTGCCTCACAGACTAAAACTGGTAGTTGGTTCCACAGGAGAGGAGCCTGATAACTAAAAGATCTGCCTCCCATTCTACTTTTAGAAATTCTAGGAACCACTTGTAAACCCTGATTTTTAGGTTTCAGGTTTTATCAAACCTTGGTTCTGATTTAATTGGAGCTTGGTCTGATATTATCATAACATAACAAACAATCCTGATTAATATATAATAAATCATTATCATAATTGTTATTATTATTATTATTGTGATCTTGAGCATAAGGTGGAGGGTTTGGAGCCCGTCAATCATTTTTGGAAAACATGCTGAAAACTGAAGTAAATAGAAGATTATATTTGAAGTGCGCTCTGAATATAATTTGTTACAAGTTGACACAAAGAAATCTTTTGTAGATGATAAGCTGGCTTTATGTGTGTTTTCCAGGTATAAGGATTACAGAGAGCCTCCTTGGTCCTCCACCCCGTATGAAATCTCCAAGGATTTCTGGGCGGTGTTGGCCGTGCGCCTGGCCTTTGTCATTGTTTTCCAGGTGAACAGAAACGTTATCATCTAAACTGTTCTTAAACATCATAAAATGACTGAAGATTTTTGTTTTTATATTTTTCAACTTTTTACAAACAGCCTAGAAAAAAGATCATACCAAAGAAATTCAAAGGGAAATGATGTCAGTTGAAAATGTTGCAAAGCAAAAACAATAAAGGTGTTAAAACTTTGACAGAGCTGCATGTGCCTTTGCTCATTATGTTTATAAGACAAAGGACCTTCGTCTCAGTTATAAATCCATTTTGTTTCCTTCTGTCAGAACGTTGTGATGCTGATGAACGATATCGTTGACTGGCTAATCCCAGACATCCCCAAAGATATCAGCCAACAGATCCACAAGGAGAAGATTCTGCTCGTTGAACTCTTTATGAGACAAGAACAAGGAAAGATCAACATACTGGAGAGAGGCGGGTCATCGAACACCAGCGAGACGCACAGAAGAAGCCACAACAACAACAACAGCACTTCCACTCTTCCTTTCTGCAAAGAGCAACCCAATGGCACCAAAACCTTCTGATGGCAGCGAGGGTGTTACGTCAAAGCTTGCATATAGGTTTTATTTTTGATTTTGCTCAGGTCCACCTTAAATCACTGTTTCATGTCTAAAACATTCCAACATCTTTAAGAGCAGCTGGCCAATCAGGCGAATGAGAGTCTCTGTCTGCTTCCTTAGCTTAGCTTTGCTCTTTATATTTGTAAACAACTTTGCACGCATGTTAACATACAAAACGTGCATTTGAATATAAAAAAGGCTTGTTAAGAGATCACAATATATTTGCATAAAATGTATCAATAAATTTGAAACTTTATATTCATGCGTTGTAAATGGTTGGTACTATAAACACATGTATATAAAAAAAAAAACTCTTCCTCACCCATCGCGGGCGGTCTTCCCCCCTTATTTCCTCCAAGCTGGGGTGCTCTACCAGAGGCCTGGGAGCTTGAGGGTTCTGCCAGTATCTTTGCTGTTCCTAGAACCGCACTCTTCTGGACCGAGATGTCTGATGTATTTCCAGGGGTCTGCTGTAAGGGCCCCAGTGACCACATTTACCACTGTTGCTCTGACCTTCTAAGTTTTCTCCAGCTCTTCTCTGAGCCCCTGGTATTTCTCTAGTTTCTCATGTTCCTTTTTCCTCATGTTGCAATCACTTGGTATTGCTATGGCAACCACAACGGCTTTCCTCTGCTTTTTGTCCACCACCACAATGTCCGCTTGGTTTGCCTTTACCATTCGGTCCTTCTGTATCTGAAAGTCCCACAGGATCTGCCACCTTTGGAGGTGTTTCCCACTTTGACCTTGGGGTTTCCAGCTCATACTCTGCACAGATGTTCTTGTGTTCTATTCCAGCCACTTGGTTATGGCACTCCATGTAAGCTTTCCCTGCCAGCATCTTGCACCCTGCAGTTATGTGCTGGATTGACTCAGGGGCCTCTTTGCACAGTCTGCACCTGGGGCCTTGTCTGGTGTGGTAGATCTGGGCCTCTATTGCTCTGGTGCTCAGGGCCTGCTCCTGTGCAGCCTGATGAGTGCCTCTTTGCTGTACTTCAGTCTGGCTTTGTCTGGCTTTGGTAGGATTTCCGAGATGTAAGAAAAAAAAAAAAAAAAAAAAAATATATATATATATATATATATATATGTATAGGGGTGGAACGGTTCACAAAATCCACGGTTCGGTTCACGGTTTCGTGGTCACGGTTTTCGGTTCGGTTCGGTATATGTTTATTGTTACACAGAAAAAAAATAATAAAAAATAATAAAAATGAATGACATTTTTTTTAAATAAAATTAATGAAAAAATCCCCAAAAATTAATGAATTGTAATTATTTTTAATGATTCGCAGAAACCCTGGATCATTTCTGGATGTTTTGCTCTCTAAGATCTCCAAACCGTTCCATCCCTAATCCTGCCGTTTATTTATGCAGATATGGACTGGGTGATGTGTTAGGAACAAAAGGATGCCACATCATTTGATGGAAATGAAAATGATCAACCTACAGATGGCTGAATTCAAAGACACCCCAAAATTGACAGTGAAAAAATGATGCGGCAGGCTAGTCCATTTTGCTGAAATTTCATTGCAGCAACTCCAAATGGTATTCAGTAATTTGTATGGCCCCCGCGTGCGTGTATGCATGCCTGACAACGTCGGGGCATGCTCCTAATGAGACGGTGGATGGCGTCCTGGGGTATCTCCTCCCAGATCTGGACCAGGGCATCTCTGAGCTCCTGGACAGTCTGAGGTGCAACCTGGTGGCGTCGGATGGATGGAAACATAATGTCCCAGAGGTGTTCTATTGGATTTAGGTCAGGCGAGCGTGGGGGCCAATCAGTGGTATCAATTCCTTCATCCTCCAGGAACTGCCTGCATACTCTCGTCACCTGAGGCCGGGCATTGTGGTGCACCAGGAGGAACCCAGGACCCACTGCACCAGCATAGGGTCTGACAATGGGTGCAAGGATTTCATCCTGATAATCAATGGCAGTCAGGGTGGTGTTGTCTAGCCTGTATAGGTCTGTGCGTCCCTCCATGGATATGCCTCCCCAGACCATCACTGACCCACCACCAAACCGGTCATGCTGAATGATGTTACAGGCAGCATTGCATTCTCCACGGCTTCTCCAGACCCTTTCATGTCTGTCACATGTGCTCAGGGTGAACCTGCTCTCATCTGGGAAAAGCACAGGGCCCATTGCCCCACAATAGTAATGAACTTTAACCGTAGTGCATATGCAGGACCTTTTGTCCAAGTCACTGGGAAATAGATGAATAGGTAGATGGGTAAATAGGTATATTAACTTAGAAAGGCTGTTAAAGGAAGATTTTACCAGAAAATTCATCACTTCTTACATGAATTATTTCTCCATTTTAAATCTGAACCTAATGTCTCAAAACTGCAATGAAAAAATGCAACAAATGTAGGTTGACCAGACGTACTCTTTTTCCCGGACATGTCCTGCTTTTCGTGCCTAAAAAAATGTCCGAGGGGAATTTCTAAATTATCCAGGATTTTGGTCACTACCGTGCAGCAGAACAGAGGCATCAGCTCCGCGGTGAAGTTGGTTTGAAGTTGGATTTTGGATATTCAAACTAATATAAAATCATGCCAATAGATAACATATGTAAGGCACACTTGCTTTTATGCAATTTTTTGCTATTTTCAATTTTAAAGATATTTTTAAAGACAAAAGTTGGGACTTTTCTTCAATAGCTTCCAAGTCATGTGACCGACTGACTCATATTCTTTGTGAAATTGTTCTACAACTTTAGCCCGATGGGGTACATTCATCTTTATTCCATTTGTATATTTCTGGCGGGGGGAAGCATACCGGGTTCGGTCCTCCGTTTCAAAACCCAAATCTGGTTCCTAACAAATGGGACTTTGAGAGTCGTCTTCATTCATAGCTGATCACGCCTGATGTCACCTGATTCTGCAGGGACGGCTCAACAAAACATCCAGGTAAGGTAAAACATCCAGGAAAGTCAAAACATATCATCCAAACTCTCAAGCCTGACCACAGCTGTAAACACATTTAGTCTGGTAAATGGTTACCAGTTAAATCTTTGAACAGCAGGGGGCAGCATTGTAATAATAAATCCTATTCTTCCTCCAAAGCCCTGAGCTTTTTCAGATTCACTAACATCAACCAGGATATTTAAGGAGGGCTGGAGCTACTATAAACACTCTGATTGCAACCAGGAAGTACTTAAAGGATAATATTAATATAATGGCCTCATTTTGGACAACTTTATTATAAATTTAAAGTTTTATTGAAGTATAGCTCTTATAATCCACCAATCGGGAACAACCTCCCGGAACAAGTGCTGAAACCCTAAATTAGAATAAATACAGGTTAAAATTGTATTCTTTTTATCTTACATTACCTATTTACTGAAATAATAGTTCATTCTTCAAATCCAACCTTTTCTCCACCTGTCTGTAATAAACTCCTGCAATAGAAATGTTTCTTTTTTTTTCTTTACTTGTGTTATTTTCATGTGCAAAGCTTTAATTTGTCTAGTTCGTGAAATGCGCTATACATGCATTTAAAAAACAAACCTGCCTTGCCCATGTTAGCTCCTGTTCACACATCAGTTCCAGCTGTTTCAGGGGAAAAATAGAGCCAGATCTTTCAGACGTTGCACATCTTGACTGATGTCAGCTAACTGCTGGTTAATGCTAATCAGCTCAATTAACTGATTGATGCATGTTGGCCGTCCAAACACAGACATCAGGGTTGTTGCTTTTATTTCTTAAAAGTTTATTTTCAATAATGTTTTTCAGCAGGTTTAGTTTGGCTATAAATAACTCTGGATAAGTATGGATGGAAAATAAAAAAACAAAGTTAATGTCAGTTACTGTGGTTAGAATACCTTCATGTTTAGGTGTGGTATACTGTAGCAGGTATTAGGTGAGGAAGTAAATCTGTACTCTGGTTTTAACAGAGAGTGAACCCTACAGCATAGAGAGTAAGCTCAAAGAATTTCTCCACCTAAAACAAGAATTATCAACAAAATATATCTACTTAAAAATATTTTAGCTAAAGCCATCCTTAACCCCTTAAGTCCAGAAGGTCTGTGGAGCAAATTCAGCCTGAAACTGCTCCACAGACCTATATGTGAATTAAAGTAAAAATTCAGTTCCCCAACTATAAATTGGAAATATAATTGTATCTGTGTGACAGAAAGGCTTGAGGAATATTTTTCAGATGGAACCACTTTTCTAAATGTCACCATGTCTGATTTATAGGTGATTAAACAAAGAAAGAATGAAAAATATTTAGCCTTGTCAATTTTTTTTTTTGTAAAATAAACTCAAAAGACCATGAACGCCCATTTGAAACTTTGGATGAACTCTCAGATGTTATAGATCCACATCTTGACTATAAGTCAAGCTAATTTGGACTGAATAAGTTGAAGCATGTTTGTTCCACAAATGTTTTAGTGGGCAGAGTGCTAGGAGGAAAGGAGACTTCTTTGCAGACTGCCAAAAGTGTAAAAAAGCATGTTTCCATTCATCAAAGGGAATCTGGTCAAATAAAAATGCTGATTTCCATTATTGGAGACCTTCTGCATGAGGCAAAGCCTTTACTTCTAATTTAGCCATAAGTTCATTAAAATTTACCAATAATATCACCAAACTGAATAGAAAATAAGAATAACATGTAACGCGTGCTGGTTACATCACCTGTAATGGTCGCAAAATGACCTCTGACCCCTCCTTGGAAACATCTAAGCCTCTAGTTTCCAATGATGGCGGCCATTAGGGGGCGGGGCTAAAAATGAATACCTGCTGTTGCATTACTCCTGCAGAGTCACACATGTCAGGTGGAATTTTAAATCTCATTTATTTTTTTACACAGCTATAAAACAGAAAGTATTAGAAATTTAAGGCTTAAGGGATTAATTAGACTGGTAACTGTCAGGTGGGTTAACCTGTTATGAGAAAGAGATGAGTTTAGAAGAAATGTGAAACTATAACAACTGAGAGAGTCTGCAGGAGCGCAGGAACATGTAGAATAAAGTGAAGGTTGATGCAGCCAAGATCAGGAAATATCATACCTGAGTCTGAATGTGGACTTTTTAATCTCTAATCCGATTTTTTCCATGTCCCACTGGCTGCGTCTAGAGAGGCTCCAACTTAGCAGGGTGAGCAGATCTGAGCAGGTTTTATTCACTTCTGTCTTTGGGCTAAACGCATATTAAAACTATTGCCCACATTTGACTGGAACACATTATGAAAAGTTATAAAAACAAATAAAAAAACAGTGATGCATTCTATAAAGCAAAGCTTAACGAGTCTGTGCAG